CTTTTTAAAAAATAAAAACAAATTACATGATTTACATCTATGATCTGTTTATTTGGAGAATGTTACATGATTTTCGCACGTTGATGTTGTTTGCTCTAGCTTTTGTAAAAAATAAATAAATAAAAAAAAATAAATACAGTTGGAGATAGGAGCTAAGCTAATCCTTCTTAAGACCATCTCCAATGCAAAATGCCATTTTTGCATGCCAAATTTATATTTTTAGAGGAATTACAATGTTAGAATGCTATATTTTAGCAACTCTGCTCCAATAGTGCATTTTATCCAAAATGCTATTTTTTTACACAATAACTATTTTTTTCCAACTACCATTTTCAATAACCATTTTTTTTTTTTAGTGTTTGTATTTTATTTAGCTTATTTGTCTGATTAAAAATAAAAATTTAATTATCAAATCAAATGTAAAAGATAAGAATGTAAATTATATAAAAATAAATGGGTAAACTTGTCATTTACATAACAAGCAAACCCTATCAAAACATAGGGAAAATCATTTTAGCCTCGCCAACCGCCTCCATCTCTATTCTCGTACTTGACTCTGAACTTGCCCTCTCTCTCTCTTTGCAACTGTAAATTACAAAATCTACAAGAATCAGAAGCTCTTTTTGCAACTACTAACTTGTATGTATGGGTTTTGTTTTAATTTTTTTTCTACATCAACTGATCAAGGTTTGTAATTCTTGTTTTGCAAACTAAATCCTATTTGGTGAAATTTTTTATGATCTCTTTTAAATATATATATATATATACCTATATATATATATATATATATATATATATACATACCCGAACCTCCCCCCCCCCCCCCCTCCTCATTTGGCACCAGATTTAGCAAAGTTAAAAATTTTAAACCCACTTGCTATATTTTAAAAATAACAACCCATATAACATAACACAACATTGAAGTTGTTGCTCAATTGCATTCCTTTTTACTAGTTGCATCCTTAAAAATGGTAGCTCAAAAACATATTTAACCACTGTTGAGGGAGATATCCATGCGGTCTGATACGACACTGTTTTCCTGCAAAGAAGAGAGTAGAATATCGATAAATCTCGACGGCACCGATATGGTGCCTGCCAAGAACTCTTCGACGATCAAGTCAGTCACCGAATGTCTAAAAGAAAGATAGAGATTTTATAATAGTATTTTGTCGTACCTTCATTGACTGGTAGGATCTCATTCTTATAGTCGCTCTTCCTTAGTTCATTTGCGAGATTAGAGGAGATCTGTTTATGCGAGATCAGAGGAGATCCGTTTGTTACCAGATTTGTCAGGGATATGATTTAACCCTTTTGACTTCCTCAAATTGTGCCAAGGTTATCTTTACCCTGTTCAACTACGTTATCTTTCATTGTCCTTGATAATGAAATATTATCAATCTTATCCAATGGAAATATCATCGTTCGAAAGTCGAAGAGGTATAGCAGCTGGTCAACACTTAGTTGCCTCTATCGTTAGGTCAAGGTAGGTTATATTTATTTTCCCTATCAGTTGCCCCCCATTCCCAAGCTTGCTCGTCTAGCTTTGGGAATGTGAATTTTTTTTTTTTTTTTTTGCCCTGAGCACTGTTCCTCGCGAGTACTGTTCACTTGAATAGTAAACTTTTTTATTTTTTATTTTTTTTACCCTTGGGAACTCTTCTCTTGGATAATGTTCACGTGGGTACTCTGCCATTGGGTAATCTTCACTTGGGTAATATTCTAGTGGGTACTCTGCCATTGGGTAATGTTTCATTGGGTAATCTTCCCTTGGGTACTCTTCCCTTGGGTAATGTTCCATTGGGTACTGTTCCCTTGGGTAATCTTCCTTTAGGTATTATTCCTTTGGGTAATGTTTCCGTAGGTATTCTCCCTTGGGTACTCTTCCCTTGGGTAATCTTCCCTCGGCTACTGTTCCCTTGGGTACTCGTCCCTTGGGTAATGTTCTCTTAGGTACTCTTCCTAATGGTGAAATTAATATGGATACCAAATCAAGGTTCTGTTTTGGAAGGGCATGGATTCAAACCCATGGTTAATGACTCTTAATGATGTAAAACTGAATTTTTCTTTTGAAAATCCAATATACTAGTTGTAAACTTCATGGGTATCAGTCAGCCCACCCCTTTGGCAAGGGAATAAATTTTACGAGCTTCATTCAACTCGTCACTCTTTTAATAAAGGAACGAGCTTCATTCAGTTCGTCCCTTTCGTCCCTTTAGTAAAAGAATTAGGTTTTACGAGCTTCACTCAGCTCGTCCTTTTAGTAAAAGAATTGGGTTTTATGAGCTTTACTCAGCTTGTCCTTTTAGTAAAGAAATTAGGTTTTACGAGCTTCACTCAGCTCGTCCCTTTAGTAAGGGAATTAAGTTTTACAAGTTTCATTCATCTCGTCCCTTTAATAACGGAATTAGATTTTTGTCAAGCGTCGGGAATGCTAAGTCCTACTGATCTAAGCATACTTGATGATTACTTTCTTGCCCCTTATAATAAGGGAAGTAGATTTGCTTGAGCGTTGTGAACTCACCCTTTAATAAGGGAGTAATTAATCATTCGTCTTTTTACCGAGGGAAGAAGATGAAATTGACCATTCGTTCTTTTATGGGGAAAAGAGTTGCAGTCTGAAGGAGGGTGACCCCTTTAATATGAGAGGTAGTCGTCTTGTTTCTCTAGTAAATGAAGAAAATTTTAATTATCTCATCCTTCTGTGTATAAGGAGTAGTCGACTTCTTATCCCTGTCTTCTCTCCCTTCCATTTAATTTTTTTTCTTCTTACCAAACGAGCATATAGTGTTTAGTATTTTTCCGACTTTACCATCTATTTATTAATTAGTTAGAACTCATGCTCTCTATCCCCATACGAATTGCAAAGGGTTCCTCGTTACCATCTTTTACAAGAATCAAATTCAATATGTTTTTTATATATTTTTTTAATACATTCTTTGTGTTCTTAATTTCATAATGACTAATAAATACCTTAGCTTGTAGTCTTGTACAAATACTGTTGGAAAGACTTATCTTTGGTTTTGAACGAAGATGAGATAAAATCAATCACCAGGTTCATTCTAAGTTCAAAATATTTTTCAATGAGCTCACTGTATGAAATCTATTTTACTTTATTTGGGTAAAGTATTATATGTCACTTTTAGTGATGTAAGTATAGAACATCTCATTTTAATTATTCTGTTATTAGTGGATTGGTTAATGTGGAATTGTTCATGGATGCATTTTAGGTTTACCATCAAAACATGTAGAAATTTATTTAGTTTAGCATAAAACATGTAATTTTTTATTTCTAAACATTTGACTTTTTTAGTTGTAATAGTTTCGCTATTTTAGATCTTGGAGTTATTATTATTTGAGTTGTCATACGGAGTAATAAATTTACATACCGATAAAATAAGAGTAAGAGTAATTTTAGATGTTAAAACTAGTTTAGCATAAAGCATGAAATTTTTTATTTCTAAACATTTGAGTTTTTTAGTTGTAATAGTTTCGCTGTTTTAGGCCTTGGAGTTCTTATTATTATGAGTTGTCATACGGAGTAATAAATTAACATACTGATAAAATAAGAGTAATTTTAGATGTTAAAAGTTGAAAGAAATTATCCAAGTGATTGCGATAATTGAATGATCCGGAGCATTCCCGGACACAGAAAATTTTGTAAAGGGCAGCCTTTAACAATAAGTTAAAAAGGTTTGGAGGCAATAATGAGATTTTTTTGTAATTTTAATGGAGACAATTTAAAAACTCAATAAGTTATAGCTATTTAGTAAAAAAAAAGATAAATTAGTAGGTATATAATACCAAGTTGTTTTTCCTTGCCTGACCAAATTTATGGATTATCGAATTTAGATTGCTAACGATGTTCCAATCTATATTCTAATTAATTCACTCGAATTTAAGATCGAGTTCGAATCAAAATCACATCCATTGACATGTTATAAAATTAGGTAGAATGGAGTGTTGTATAATTATGCAACAAAATGAATCTAATAATGAATTATTAATATATATAAATTTAATGATTGATAACTAATACATATACATACATATATGGTAAATTGTAATAATACACACACATATATAATTATATATATGTTTAATCAAATATGGTCATTATTTAAACTATTACTTTTAATTCATATTTGATTTGTTAAGTTAATGAATTATCGAATTATTCAATTCATATTCAAATAATCTGATCAATTCATATCAAAATCTAATCTATTGATATGTCTATATATAACCAAACAAGCCCTGCACGAGCCAAATATTTGTGATCCGATCCAAAAGTTTTATTAGTCACATTTAAAGCGCTTTCATTCAGTATGATTTAAATTTGGTTACTTTCGTGTTTCCATTCATATATACATTTTCACTCTATTTGACTTAGTACAAAAACCTCTCCATTCGAATAAGCCCATGTCAAGGATGGAGCCCAATCTTGTTCACTTTCGCTCTGCGTGACTTAACTCAAAAACCTTCCCATTCGAATCAACCTAAACCCGCATCAAGGATGGAGCCCATTATTGTATCCACTCCGAGTCTGTGTGATTTAATTTGAAAACTTCCCCATTCGAATCAGCCTAAACCTACATCAAGATGGGGCCCATCCTGGTAACATTTGTTGCTAGTCAAACCCTTCCCTAAAAATTAAAGTATTAGGTATTACTAACACTTCCCTTGTATGTTCAAAACTTATCCCGTTCAAGACCTATCCCTTCTAGATGGACGTGTGTCTTGTCCCATATTCCGAGGAGGTAATTACGATTACGATTAATATCACAGCAAGATCTAGTTGTTGATTTAATGTCGCACGAAACGGGTGCCGCTGCCCAATAACTTAACGTCTCATCAGAATTTAAAATTGAGTTGTATAATACAAGGCTGATGACACTATAGGTGTTTAATATGCAGCTATACCACGTGTGAGACAAATTAATCGCACTCTTCATTGTTTGCCACGCCACCCACCTACTCTTAAACAAAAAATTCACAACTTCAACGTTCACTCGTCGGTACACACACTGAGTTACTCAACTGGCTCGTGTGTGTCTATAATCTATATATATATATATATATATAAGGGTGCGCTACACGCATGGCCTCCTCTTCTCGATCTCTCTCTGCTACTCTGCGCACATTCCCCACTCGCGTCCCAACCCTGCAACGATCCCCGCCGTCCATTCCACTGACACCAAGGTCGGTCGTTCCTAATCCCATTGTTTACTCGCTCGGACCGAAGGGGGTTTTGCTGATCGGCTCGAAATCGAAGAAATTTGACTGCAAAGCGAAGTCATCAATGGCTGAGATTGCGACTGAGAAAGGGAAAGGGAAGGTACAGGTGTTCGATTCGGAGGAGGATCTGGCGGTGTCTGTGGCCAAATACACAGCCGATCTATCCGATAAATTTGCCAAGGAGAGAGGAGCTTTTACTGTTGTGTTTTCTGGAGGTTCTCTCATCAAGTGTCTCAGGTACAAAACTAATTTAATTTTCCTTTTCTTCCAATCAAGTTTTTCTTGTTCGTTACTCTGTTTGGTTGCTTAGAAAAAGGTGGGAAATTAATGACTGAAATTGGAAGTAACCTTGGTGTTTGTTTTATGTTGTGATTTCAGGAAATTAGTTGAGCCTCCGTATATTGATTCGGTGGACTGGTCGAAATGGCACGTCTTTTGGGTGGACGAGAGAGTTGTTCCTAAGGATCACCCAGACAGCAATTATTTGCTCGCTTACAATGGTCTTCTATCCAAGGTATAGCTCAAAACTTTCTGCTTTTATTTTTTTTTTATTTTTATATATGTTGATTATCGTATTATTATTATTATTTTTTCTCAAATTTAGTGTTTTGCATTTCGTATTATTTGAGAAGATCAGATTTTTTATTTATTTATTTATTATTATTTTTTTCTGGCTGTATTGACTTTTGTGAAATTGTGAAAAGAAGACAATTGATTGCGCCAACAAAATATTTTTGTGTCTACACTCGCTTAAAGCTTTGAATTGAAGGTTGTGAATGCCCAAAAAAATGAAGAAAAAGATTTAAGTCAATTTAAAAAATTTCCCTTCTGACATGTCTATAGGATGTATGACCTGGAATATAGGGCTAAATGATTTATTTTTTTGATGGTTCGGGCCTCTTAGAGCACCCCACCCCATAGGCGATCACCAAGCACAATCAGTCTCCCTTCATATCTTTTTTTTTTTTTTAACCTGAATGTCTCCCTTCATATCCAATTGGCAATTACCAAGACCAGGGATGGCCCAAGGGCTGAATGATATTAAGATTATAGAATAGTTTGCTTAGCTAACTTGTTTGCATATGATGGTCAATTGACTTTGTTTTCATTAAATTGTTCCTCCAAACCAAAAAAAGAGGCCAATTCTTTTGGAGCAACATGTGACTAAATGATGAATTGATGTTTTTTTGAACTATTGATTCCAGCTCAATGTCCAGCGCATAGAGTTCATTAATTTAGACTTATTGATTTCCATGAGAGAAAAAAAATCACTTTTAAGTTTTAAAAAATTATAGAAATGCCATGATTTTCCCCCCTTTTTGTCCCTACTATGTGTTAGGAATGACGACCTTCTAGATTTGAATATTAGATACTAATGAGATGATCATAGTTCTCTTTCCTCCTCTGTAGCTATTTCATTGGTAATACTATTCTGTTCCGCTGATCTGAAATGTTAAAACTTCTCCGCAGGTACCAATTCCTCCCGGTAATGTTTATTCCATCAATGATGCACTGTCGCCGGAGGCTGCAGCTGATGATTATGAGACTTGTGTCAAACACTTGGTTCATAAAAAGATAATAGATTTGTCTGCAGCTACTGGGTTTCCAAAATTTGATCTCATGCTAATAGGTATGGGCCCAGATGGACATGTAGCTTCTCTGTTCCCCGGGCATCCTCTTGTTAAAGAAAACAAGCAGTGGGTTACTTACATTAAGGATTCACCAAAACCACCTCCAGAGAGGATTACTTTTACCTTTCCAGTAATCAATTCCTCTGCACATATTGCACTCGTGGCCCCAGGGGCCAGCAAAGCCCATCCGGTGCATGTGGCACTCGGAAATGGTCAAACTTCTGATGTGCTTCCTGTTCAATTGGTTTCACCTGAAGGGGAATTGACATGGTTTTTGGACAAGGAAGCAGCTTCAAAGCTATAGGACCGACCAGGCATGCACGTAGCTATGTGAGTTGGTCTATATGATGCTTTAGCATATCTATCTTCTATGACATGGTCTGGTCATTAATCTTGTAGATGTTTTTAAAAGATTTTGTTGTATTGATGCTAGTTAATACAACAATACACTGTTGTTTTTCTCCATCCATGCTAGCAGGAAATTAGGATTTGAATAATATGGAAGCTGATTTGTTATATATCTTCTGTTGATTTCCCTTTTGTGACTCTGTTATGTTTATTTATTTATTTTTGGGCAGGGAGATTAATCTGAATGTCGGATGTGTTTTGGCTTGGTGGTGAGTTTATCTCTTTTTTCTTTTCTTTTAAAAGCTTAGTCAGAGCTGAAGTCTGTACGTGATTGAACGAGCAATGTTAGATATCATCAACATGAGAGAATCTTACATGCAGAGAATTGCTTTACACCCAATTTTCATGTTGGATTTGTACTTTTTCTTTGAGAGAAATTTATAAGTGACAGTTCCTTCATTGTGTTTTGAAGGGGAAACGAGCCCAAATTAAACCATAAAGTAGAATGTGGCACTTGGTTAAAGTTGATTTAGTTTTGCACAAGTTGTCTGACATGGCAAATAATCAACCTATATTTGTAAGGCCTGCAACTGAAACTGTGTTACCTCAAGACAATGGCACTGCACTTGGAAGTTATATATTATTATTATCTTGTGTTTGTGTGAATTGTTGAATCTCAATGTTGTGCTTATCGGAGCCTGTTTTAAATGTGCACTTGAAGCTTTCACTTGTGCAGCACTATTATTGATGACCTAAACCACAACCATAAGTTAATGGGACAAGCGAATGCTAAATTATGTGATCTTCTTCAGCTGAGCCTGAGTGACTTTTCTTTATTATCTTAGTAATTAATTTACTGTCATAATATATATATATATATATATAGCAGGCTTAGGCTTGGAAGCATAACCAATGTGGTGTTTGCTTTGGAGCTTAGTACTTATAAATGGATGAGCTATTTAAAAAAATCAGCATTCCAGAAGTTAAATTAATGGATAACATCTTTAGCTTTTACAAATGGTTTGCATTGCTTCTCCTGCACTTTTAGTTTGGACTGAAGACTTTGTTTTGAGCAGAATAATTTACAGCAATAGTTACCTTGGAGCATTTTGTATTGTAAGTAGGCTGTAGAACTATATTATACTCTGCTATGGTTACTTTAATTGCTATGAATATGGAAATGACTTTGTTATGTTGGCTGGCTTAGCATTCCACTAACCAGTTCTGGAAGCTAAGTTGGAGCTGCAAAAGAAATTGGCTTTCTTAAGACGATAGTGCTGTTCCTTGAAATTATTATTATTATTCATGTGCTCCAATGTCCATTATCCCAAAGTAGAGATTATCTCCTCCGTGACTCTGTCATCCTCCCCAGGGTTCCCCTCTTTCATGCTCTCCCCGCCAGTTCAGAACTTACCCTTTTGATTTCTCATACTTACTATTTTCAACTTCTGTACTGATTACTCATTGATATTAGCATGAAGTGGTTCTTTATTAGGTGGTTATAAACTAAATCTAGTTTCTGCATAAACAAGCTTTTTGTTGTAGGCATGTGGAAGCAAATGTTTCAATACCAATTGAGGATGACCCAATCTTACTTGTGTAGACCCCAATTGAAAGGCTTGCAAAACTGGAAGTTCAATTTGACCAAGCATTGAGGTTTGGTTATGAACTATCTCTTGTTTCTGTATTAAGTGTTCTATAAACCAGAGTCAGTGTGTTTTCGTTGTTTGTTGATGAGAAAGAATCCAAATATCTGATGCACTTTATATTATCCCATTCTGTGCATCCAAAACCTAGGGAAGGACAGACTTTTAGTAAGTTGTTTCACACCATCCACAATTCACATCATGTTAAACTAACTGGAATAGCATGAAGCCATGGAAGTAGCTTTTCTTTTTAAGGTTACATAATTAATTGAATGTGTGCTGTAATTGTTAGCTTTCCCTATGTTAAACATAACTGGAATAGCATGAAGCCATGGAAGTAGCTTTTCTTTTTAAGTTTACATAATTAATTGAATGTGTGCTGTAATTGTTAGCTTTCCCTAGCTTCTTTACTTCTTTCTATTCTTTGATGGAAGTTATGATGAAGATGGTTCAAAGTATATTCACTTGATTTGTTGGCAGAAGTTGCTACACTGTCCTTTTTAACAGGGCTTTGCAAACTGGGAACCCACAAGCTGAGTATTGCATTGCTGTATGGTTTCAAAAAAAAAAACAAAAAATCTTTAATGGTGTCTTTTTGTTTATAATTGTGATGACAGGTTAGGTCCTTGGTGTGGACAATCGAACAACCCGCCTACCTCCCTCAAAATTTTCTAAGAATTAGGGTTCGTAGCTATTCTTGGCATCCTAAAATCGTCTTGAACAATCTTTCTGCATTGATCCATCTGTTGAAATTTTGCATTAAAGACAGTTAGTTGTAGAAGTGAATTTGTTTCATCAGGTGGGCATTAAGAAGCAGGAACCTTGGATATCTAATAATTTTTCAAATTGGTAAGAGGCCACATTGATTTTGTTGTTTTAATGACGTGTGTTGTTTTTCTTCATCCATGCTAGCAGGAAATTAGGATTTGAATATTATGGAAGCTGATTTGTTATATATCTTCTGTCGATATCCTTTTGTGGCAGTTGCTTCTGTAATTTGTCTTTTTGATTTGTGTATGATGTTTATTTATAGATTGTCTGATGTGTTTTGGCTTGGCGGTGAGTTTATCCTTTTTCTTTTCTTTTAAAAGCTTAGTCAAAGCTGAAGTCTGTCCGTGATTGAACCAGCAATCTTAGATATCAACAAGAGAGAATCTCACATACAGATAATTGCTTTACACCCAATTTCCCTGTTGGATTCGTACTTTTTATTTTTGAGATAAATTTTTAAGTGACAGTTCCTTCATAGTGTTTTGAAGGGGAAACGAGCCCAAATTCAACCATAAAGTAGAATGTGGCACTTGGTTACAGTTGATCTTGTTTTAGCTTTGCATTAGTTGTTTGACGTGGCAAATAATCAATCTATATTTGTAAGGGCTGCAACTGAAACTGTGTTACCTCAATGGAATGGCACTGCACTCGGAAGTTGTATCTTATTATTATCTTGTGTTTGTGTGAATTGTTGAACCACAATGTTGTGCTTATCAGAGCTGTTTTTAATGTGCACTTGGAGCTCTCACTTGTGCACCACTATTACTGATCACACCTAAACCACAAGTATAAGTCAGTGGTACATGCGAATGCTAAATTATGCGATCGGCTTCAGCTGAGCCTGAATGACTTTTTTGTTTGTTCATTTTAGTAATTTACTGTCATATAATATATATAGCAGGCTTAGAAGATGTACCAGATCATATTATCTGTTCTCATTATGTACAACTGATACAGATGAAATTTTACTCTAGAGGGTCGTGCTTGCAGAGGGGATGATGATGATGATGATGTGGTCTGCAAAAATGTTAGTAGATGATTTAAGCCAATTTGCCAAATCATAAACAGGTGGATTATCATCAAAAGGCATCATGATGAACATAAGTGGCTTTCGATTACCTCCTATATTTTACCCTTGGGTTAATCTCTTATGTTTTTCACCAACAATAATCTATTACCATTGATTACTCCTTTAGTCTCAAATTAAATATTGGAAATCTAATTTTTTTAAAGGATAAATTTTAATATTTTTTATTATTTTAGTAGTGAATGAATTATCATGTCATAGCAGGCTGGTTTACTGTTTTTTAGGTTCAAATGTAAGAATGTTAAATCAATAATGTTATAAAAAAAAAAAAATTAATAATTTGATTTTTTATATGAAACATTTATGATGAGATATTAAAAAATAGAAAGATGAACATTTAATTTATAAATTCTTCCGAATAAATATTTTTTAATAATCCATGTACTCAGTGAATTTTATCATTTTTTTCTGAATAAATTAAGGAGTTTCAAACACAAACACACTGCTCAAAACTAAAGCACACGTCCCGAGAGAGAATTCACAATCAAGGGTAAAGTGTAAAAAAATCCAAAATTTTACTCTCTCCCCAACAAAGTCCTTGAACTTCTATCTTTACAATAAACCTCCCTAAAATACCCAATTTGTTTAAAGGAAACTCAGGCATACTGTTCCGACTTGTGATTGTGACGTGGCAAAGATATAATCTCAAAATGACAAAGTTACCTTATAAATGTTAAGAAATAAATGAATAAAATCTCCAAATTAAAACCCACAATTGTCATTTGTTGTTAACCCTATTTTTTTTGTAACAAATCGCCATTGCCATCTCCATATCTCACCAGTCTCATTCTCCGCAAACCAACAACTCCAACTACCGTAACATTCTCCGCGCAAACCAGCAACTCCAACTGCCGCAACACACAAAATGATATGTCTCCGCTGCCACACGCACCCAACTTCGCATCCGCAAATTGAAGTCCCAATGTTCTTTAACCCTAACTCCCATTCCCATTAGCTTCATTCCATTCACTTTTTTTTTTTTTTTTTTTCAAATCTTTAAACCCAACCATCGTCGACAGCTCAATCATGGTGGCGTCGGATTCCGAAGATCCATTCATCAACAGTAGCCATGGCCACGGACCAGTTCAGGATCAGTGGGGCGGATGCCTCAACTGAATTTTTTTATAATCTACATTATATTACCTATTATTTTAATTAAAATTTCAAAATTGCCCCCACTCATTTTTTAAAATGCCCCCTTCACATTTTTACCTCACTAATTTCTCCTCTGGATGTTTTCTAATTTATGTTATTACCTAAAGTTTTAATTAAAATTTTAAAAAATACCCCACTCAATTTTAAAAATGGCCCACTTCACAATTTTTTTTTTCAAATTTGCCTACAATTTTTTTTATTCTTCAAAAATGCCCCTCCTCAAAATAATTCCTGGTTCCGTCACTGGCCAGCCATGGCTGCCGGGACAGGACAAGTAGCAATGACAACTACAAAATCCAGAGCTTCACTCCGTCAATGATTTAATTGAGGTTGATTTCGTGATTTAATCGGGTAATTTGATTGTCCCATGGTGATGTTCATGGGCTGGTCGGCGAAGTTGGAGGTTGCTGCTGGTTGGCGAAGTCCGAGGTTCTGTACATGAGTAGTGAGTAAGGTGGTTTGGTGTTAAAATGTATTGGTGTTGGGTGGTGTGTGCCACTAAACTGATAAAGTGGTTATGATTGTGATACTGATAAGGTCGTACTGTCCTAATTATTCTGGTTGTTGGTATTATGCTTGACACATCAACAATAGAAGCACTAAAACACTGAAACAGTGCCCTTCCACTTAAGGGTAATTTTGTAATCTACTATCTCCGGGAGTCTTTTGTCCTTAATTTACACAATTTAGATAGTTAACTCCATTCCCATTAGCTTCAGTTCTGTTTATCGCACTGTTACCCTAAAATCAATGGTGGTAAATCCGGTATAACAGTCGCATGTTCCAAGTGCATATGCGTGATATTGACGCAGTTGTAGATTTTCGGAAAATTGACGCAATTATAGATTCACAACAGTGTTTGGATGATAAAGTCCCAAACTTGATTTTTCCCCCCCTCTCATAAAGATATACTCCTCCTTTTTAATTCACCAACCAAAAAATCTATTCTTAGTTCAACTTTTCTGTTAAGAATTTCGATCAAAAAGGTCTCACTGATCGGCTCGAAGAATTTGAGTGCGAAGCAAAGTTTATCAACGGCTTAAATGGCCACTGTTGAAGGGAAAGGGAAAGGGAAAGGGAAAGGGAAAGTTCAGGTGTTTGATTCCGAGGAAGTGGTGGCGATCCATCTGGCCAAATACATTGCCGACCTATCGGATAAATATGTCAAAGAGAAAGGTTCTTTCACCGTCGTTCTCTCTGGAGGTACCCTCATCGACTCGCTCAGGTAACCTTCTAATTTCCCAGTATCGATTTCTTCATATTCTGTTTGGTTGGTGAGAAAATGTCTAAAAGGTAAAAAAAACCATAGAAGCTCTTGATTCGCACCGTTGTTATCTTTCATTTTCATTACAGCTCGCTCATCAGAGTGCAGAAGGTTTATTAGGCATGATATATGGTAACTGATTTTGGTGATCTTTTAGGAAATTACTGGAACCTCCGTACATTGAATCGGTGGATTGGTCTAAATGGTATATCTTTTGGCTGGATGAGAGAGTAGTTCCTAAGGATCACATTGATAGCAATTATAAGCTCGCTTGTGACGGTTTCCTATCCAAGGTATAATTCAAGAATTTCTGGTTCCTTTTTGTCATATGAAGTAAAAATTGTTTCTTTCAACCATTGTTTAATTAACTTTTGAAATTTTGTGCTTTATATTGAGTGCTATGCAGTTTAATTAAGAAGAACAGTTTTGAGCATATAATTTTTGTTAGCAAAGTTGAAATGTGAAAAGCTTTGTGGATTCATGAATAAACACATATCGTAAACTGTAGAACATAAAGCTGAACGGCGGATAAGAGGATTGAATCCAATTGGTGATGTTCCTTGTTCTAAACATCTGAACTGATTGCCCATCATTTCTCAAAATTATGAGCTAGAATGCAACCCTCCCCAAACCCCGCAATGGCGGAAGCCTCGTGCACTGGGTTTGCATCTTTTTTTTTTTTTTTTAATCCTTTGGTAATCAATCATTTTGGGGTGTCATTACTCATGATCATTGTCTTTCTTTGTCTTTGCGTAAGTAATGAACTATAGCTTCCAAATATTGAATATGTGATGCTACTATGAATGTTTCACTTGTAATACTACTCTATGATCTCTATCACACTATTGAAAACATATAAAAGGCATAAGTTATTCCATATTTTGGCAGGTACCGATTCCTCCCGGTAATGTTATCGCCATCAATGATACACTCTCAACAGAGGGTGCAGCTGATGATTACGAGTCTTGTCTCAAAAGTTTGGTTGACAGCAAGATCCTAAATTTATCAGATGCTAGTGGGTTTCCTAAATTGGATCTCATGCTATTGGGTATGGGTCCAGATGGACATGTGGCTTCTCTATTTCCCGGGCATCCTCTTGTTCACGAGAAGAAGAGATGGGTTACTTTCATTAAGGACTCGCCAAAACCACCTCCACAGAGGATTACTTTCACCTTTCCGCTAATCAACTCGTCTTCAGATATTGCACTTGTGTTAACTGGGGCTGATTTAGCCAATGCGGTGCATGTTGCACTGGGAGATGATCAAACTTCTGATTTGCTGCCTGTTCAGATGGTTTCACCTGAAGGTGAGCTGACATGGTTTTTGGACAAAGGCGCAGCATCAAAGCTGTAGGGTTGGGCATATTTATGGCTATGTGAGTTTATCCATATGACCAATTAGCATATAACTGTGGTTTGATCAGAGATCATATAGATGTTACATCATATAGATGTAACAAAGGATCTTGTAAACTTATTTTAAGTACTAATAAGCATGTTCATCTTCCATGCTGGCAGTGGAGGAGGATTTATATACTATACAATCTGATATGTTATGTATTCGTAATATTTTTGTTTGAACGTTTTGCTCATTTCTTTATCTGAATCTCCCGTGTCAATGTTTTTCATGTTTTCTTCTCCTTCTCCGTGTACCTTTTGTGTGTGTGGCAAGGGAGAGGTTGACATTATGTTTCTGTCAATCTGATATATTGTGGCAAGGAAGCATTACCAATGTGGTGTATGCTTTGGAGCTTAGTTCGGGGTAATGCCTACTTATAAATGGATGAGCTATTTTAAAAATCAGCATTCCAGAAGTTAAATTAATGGATGACATCTTTAGCTTTTACAAATGGTTTGCATTACTTATCCTGCAATTTTAGTTTGGACTGAAGACTTCGTTTTGAGCAGAATAATTTACAGCAATAGTTACCTTGGAACATTTTGAATTGTAAATAGGCCGTGGAACTATATTATACTCTGCTATGGTTAATTGCTATGAATATGGAAATGACTTTTGTTATGTTGGCTGGCCTAGCATTCCACTAACTAGTTCTGGGAGCAAAGTTGGAGCTGCAAAAGAAATTGGGTTTCTTAAGACGATAGTGCTGTTCCTTGAAATTATTATTATTATTATTCATGTGCTTCAATGTCCATTATCCCAAAGTAGAGATTATCTCCTTTGTGACTCTGTCATCCTCCCAAGGGTTCCCTCTCTTTCATCCTCTCCACCAATTCAGAATTTACCCTTTTGATTTCTCATACTTACTATTTTCAACTTCTGTACTAATTACTCATTGAAATAAGCATGAAGTGGTTCTTTATTAGGTGGTTATAAACTAAATCTAGTTTCTGCATAAACAAGTTTTCTGTTGTAGGCATGTGGAAGCAAAGGTTTCAATACCAATTGAGGATGACCCAATCTTACTTGTGTAGTCCCCAGTTGAAAGGCTTGCAAAAATTGAAGTTCAATTTGACCAAGCATCAAGGTTTGGTTATGAACTATCTCTAGTTTCTATATTAAGTGTTCTATAAACCAGAGTCGGTGTGTTTTCGTTGTTTGTTGATGAGAAAGAATCCAAAGATCTGATGCACTCTATATTATCCCATTCTGTGCATCCAAAATCTAGGGCAGGACAGACTTTAGTAAGTTGTTTCACACCGTCCATGATTCACATCATGTTTAACCTAACTAAAATAGCATGAAGCCATGAAAGTAGCTTTTCTCCTTAAGGTTACCGAATTAATTGAATGTGTACTGTAATTTTTAGCTTTACCTAGCTTCTTTACTTCTTTCTATTCTTTGATGGAAGTTAGATGGAAGTTATGATGAAGATGGTTCAAAGTATATTCACTTGATTTGTTGGCAGCAGTTGCTACACTGTCCTTTTAACAGGGCTTTGCAAACTGGGAACCCACAAGCTGAGTATTGCATTGCTGTCTGGTTTTATAAAAACAAAAAATCTTGAATGGTGTCTTCTTGTTTATGATTGTGATGACAGGTCAGGTCCTTGGTGTGGACAATCGAACTACCCACCTAACTACCTCGGAATTTTCTAAGAATTAGGGTTTCATAGCTAAGTTAGCCCAAAATCTCTATCCTTCTAGGCACCCTAAAATCATTTTGAATAATCTTTCTGCATTGATCCATCTGTTGAATTTTTGCATTAAAGATGGTTTGTTGTAGAAGTGAATTTGTTTCATCAGGATGGCATTAAGAAGCAGGAACCTTGGATATCTAATAATTTTGCAAATTGGTATCAGGCCACCTTGATATTCTAGCACTTGTTAATTCAATATTCACCAGACATTACATTGGCTTTGATTGCATCAGATATCTGTTGTTCATACCGATTGAGATTGGTTGTCTATTACTACTTTAGGCCCTACCCATTTGGCAGGTCTTTCTTAAAAGAGGGCTTATTAATTGTGGACTCTTATTGTTTTGTTGATGACAATAGTTGGAGAAACTAACCGGTAGAAATGGTGTAGAAATGGTAAGATTTTTCCTTTTCAAAGAAGAAGTTGAGTTTTCGAGCCTTGCCTTGTTACGGCAATATTGTGGTTGCATATGTGTTTGCTCAAACTTTTGATTTTATGAAATTTGGACATTCCTGTCTCCATGGCTGCACACCCTATGAATTGTTGGATTATCATCTTCTTCTTCTTTTTATTTATTTTTATTTTTTAAATGAGCTGCATTATAGATCTGATGGACTTATTTGATATTATTTCTTGGACATTTCTTATCCTCAGAATTTGTCATCTACCTAAAATAACATGGATAAAGCAAATATGACTCCCTAGCTTTCCTACATCTAGAATTAAAATATAGTATGATATTTTAAAGTTTGATATCTGCTTGTTAACTGTGCCAACTTGTATTCCCTTTCCTTTTCTCTTTCTCTAATACCTAAATTTTGTTTGAGTCCTTTCCGTCCACAGAATAAAAGAACCTTCATCTTTAGAACAAAACTTGAATGGAGCACATGGCTATGGGTGTCAACTTTCTTATCCTTACCATCAAATGCTGAGCCATTTTTACGTTCATATACATTGTATATCGCTTATTTTATGTAATTGGACTAGTTTTTGTCTGTATATACTATATAGCTTTCTTTTTCCGTGATTTGGGTTTCTAAACTTGCATCAAGTTGTTACTAATAACGTGTCGTATCTTTGAAGCAATTGTTGATTGCCCCCAAGAAGATACTTATATAATTATATTTATAGAAATAATAGATATAAACTTGTTTTATCCTCATGTTTACTGCAAATGGACCTAATATATGTATTTAATTACCTTTTTTTTTTTTTGACGTTGGGTTGAATTACATCCCGATCAGGAACTTAATTGGGTGAAAAAGCAAATATGATCACTTTTAGGATGTAAAAATCAGAAGTTTTGTTTGTGTGATTTATCACACAATGGACGGTAGTGATTTAGCAGTCATCCCCTAGAATAATAGGCGTAGCTAAAGGCTAGGAGGATTTGAGACACCAATGATGTGTTGTCACTATCTATTACTACAAAATGAAACTCTCCTTTGACCTCGATTATGCCCTTGAAGACCTTTTGGACGAAAAGATTTAGCACTCTAGTGCATGCTATTCCTTGCCCCTCCAACAAAATAAAAAACAAAAACCACAATTGAAAAAAAAAAAGAAAAAAAAATTGGATCCTCGGGCGTGCAGTTAGTGTTATACCATATTAGACGGTAGTTGTGTATTGCATAATTTGTATTAGACTATTGATCTGCACAAATAACTCATAGCAAACACACGTGTATATATTGTGAGTCGTTTAATACAGTACAACCCGTGTAGTGCTATATCGGATTTCAATACTCAACATAAAAAAATATAAAAAAGAATAATATTTAAAAATTAAAAAAAGAAAAAAGAAAAAGAAAAAAGAAAAAGAGAGAAGAAGAGCAGGAAGGTATCTGGTGAAGTCATTTCTCACTTATTCTTGCAAATTGTGAGGGATTATGATATTGTTTATATTTTATACCTATACTTATTATCTATAAGGATGGGGTACACCTATATCTGATATTATATTCATGGTTCATTGTTATACGCTAACATGCTTTATTATGGTTTGAGGAGATAAAATTCCTGAGAATCTCTCGTGCTGCATAGCTTTTGTTTATTCTTTTAATATCCATCTCTTTTTCTTTTTATAACTTCTTCTTTCATTGTCCAGAAAACACTCCGCCTTATATTTTTGACTCGTGTACCATGTTTTTGAAGATAGAAATTGGGAAGTTAGGTGGTACTTTGACTCCTTAAAATCTTTTCAAAGTTGAAATTTAGATTGGATATGCGGCATATGATGCCTCTTTGCTTTTGCTGATTAGGTCAAGTTTAAAACATAAGCAAAGGCCTTAGGTTTGTTGTTAGCAATAGTAGTTAGCAATGGAAACTCATAATCATTTCATTTTTGTTAATCTCTTAATCAATACATTTATTTATTTATTATTATTTTTTTTAAGGATCAATGTTTGATGCAATAATAAAATATTGTTTCTTCCTCAAGTGTAAGAAAATAGGTATGACTCTAAATTTTTTATTATTATTTTGAATCCCTCTTCTCTATAAGGATGAGGAGGATTATTGGACAAGATATAAGATGATGTGACTCTTATGTTTGTACCTAATCTTTTTTTTTTTTTTTCAATACTCTTAGATTAAAAAAAAAAATGCTAACTAATGATGTTTTTTCTTCTATGTCAACTTGTTTTCATTACTTGTAACTTGTAGTAAGTACTTGAAATGTATGAATGTGTGTGTGTGGTCCTTTGTATACAGGGGCGGAGCCCGCGGCCGGCCGCCGCGGTGGGGTGTTTTTGGAATTTATTTTTTAGTATGGATAAAAATAAAAATAATGTAGTATATATGGTATAAAATTTATACTTGGCTCCCCTAAGAAAAAATTAAAAAAATTCTTTCTTTAATTAGCATTTAAAATATACGGAGTAATATAAAAAATGACATATAAAAATTTAATGTGACTATCTTAAAAATTTTACTCAAACCGAGTTCTTTCTATAATGTTCCATTTTAAAATCCTTTCAACTCAATCACGATTCTTTAATTAGCATTTAAAAGATACGAAGTAATATAAAAAATGACATATAAAAATTTAATGTGACTATCTTAAAAATTTTAATCAAATAGAGTTCTTTCTATATTGTTCCATTTTAAAATCCTTCCAACTCAATCACGATTCTTTCCATAACCTTTTTATCCTAAAATTCCAATTCAATCACGATTCTCTCCATAACCTTATTTGGCTTAAGGAATCACTTTTTTCTCATGGATGTAGATCATTTTTATGCACACTGCAGTCAGGTTAATCTCAAAGTTTTTTTTTGTTCCTCTTTATATAAATTTTGTATGTATATATGTATTTTTGTGTGGGTGTGTGTCTATTTTTTTGTTTTTTTATAAAAAATTTAGATATATACATTTTTGTATAAATATAATAAATAGTAAAATATTTTTGCTTATGTAATTTTTTTTTTTTTTTTTTTTTTTTTTAAAGTTCTAGTTAAGTAGTGTTGCTTATAATTTTGACCTCCCAACTTTAAGATCCTCCCTCCGCCCCTTTTTATATGTGTGCAATATAGGTGGAGAAAAGGCCCCATTGATAATGGATACGCATTGATTGCAATTAGTGGATCACCCAACAATTAATCCGGGATTGGGATATGTAATCAGAAAACAAGGCATGTTGGGACATGTTCTCATTATCACTTATGGATTCTAAGAGAGTGCATTACAAACCAAGAGAAACACACATGAGGAGATAAATTCCAACTTCAAATTCACGCATTTGGAGCTCATTTGAGGAAACTAATTTACCATTCTTTAAAAAGTTACAGACAAATGAGGGAAAATGTAAACAGAGTAACACAAATGAAGAAGGACAACTAGTTTAAGCTATATATATAGATATATATATATATATATATATCAGAGGCATTTTTCAAATAACTTCCAGTTTATTTATTTATTTTTATTTTTTATTTTATGAACCAAGCTTTTGAACTTTATTAAAATGAATGAAATGCGGAGTAATGTTTTTACTCCACTTTTGTAATATTGAACTTCACTTGCTAAGGGGCAAGTGTTTTTTTCGTCATTCAAAGAAGATTGTCCAGAGTTCAAGTTGAGATTTAGTTAATATGTTGGCTTATTTTCTTATTTATTAAATTATATTGACCTCCCCTATCAGACTTGTGGGTTTATAAGCACATTTTTGTTCTTATATATACTATATTTTATTGTAATAAACTTATCTTCTAAGGGTAGAATTAAAATTTGAAAATTACAAAATTGTTGACATGGACCTTTTATTTTATTTTATTGTTGACTGTTAACAAATGAGAGATGCATATTATGTATATACAAAAACTCAAAGAAGTAAGTATAATTTAACAAATAAAAAAGGAGTTTGGTGTATATTGTCAAAACTTCAAAGAAGGTGCATGTAATATATCTTTTCCATAAACATAAGAGTAATTCTTTTAAAATTGCAAAAAAGACCCTCATTTCTTAAAAAAAAAAACAAAGTTTAGGAGAAACAAGAAAGTTTAAAAAATGGAGGAGAAGTGTTGTCGGGTCAAAAGAGTAACTGAATAAACACGTCGACGTTTTAGCAATTACTCCGTATTTTTGTTATATGCCTTGTTAGTAGTAAAAAATTCCTTGACAAAATCATTTTCCTCAAAAGGAACTATTCCTAAAGTTAAGGTTTTAGATATGCGTGTTGAGGCTTCTCAGGTCTTTGGTTCAGTCCCCGCCTCCTTCTCTCACACGCACACTCTTTCTAGAGTCTAGAGAGAGAAAACCCAAAGAGTGAGACAAAGAAAAAGACCAGTAAGAGAGAGAACGCAAAGAAAGTAAAAAAGCAGTTGGGCTTCAGTTGGTTATGGTGGAAAATCCACTACGCGTGCTTAGGGACAAACCAGTCATTTCATCTTCTCTCCCCTCCATGCTCTTCCTCTTCTGCAGCTCCATTGCTAATGGTGTTGAAGCCATCACTAAATTTGGAGGCTTCTTCTTCTTCGGCGGTGGCGGATTCTGGTCGGTGACGGCCGATTCCAATGCCGGAATAGCTGTAGCCGTCACGGCCTTGGCGGGTCTCGCTTTGGCCGCCGCCGTGTTGTACACTCGTAGGTAAAGACTTAGAAAAAAGTAATCTAATTTCCACAGATTTGAAACCCTAGAAATCAATAGATTTTCGCTGTTAACAGTAACAACTATAGATAGATGAGAGCCCTCCGACGAAGTCATACTTCGTCGTCATCTTCGAATTCATCTTCTCCGTCTTCGTCGTCGTCATCGTCATCATGGATTCATTTGAGATCGGTTCTATTCATAGTTGCATCCTCCTCACCAGCTTCTTGTTCTTCCTCTGATCGGTGAGTTTCTCTCTTTTCCTTCTCTCTCTACATTACTTCTCCATTTCTCAATAACTTCTTTGCTTCAGCTCCATTTTTGTAGCATTCACTGTTTTCAATTCAGATCTTGATCTCCGAGTACTCAAAATGGTGTCTTTTAGATCAATCTTCAGCTCAATATTATAGTTCAACAGAGTTTTACTTCCTTTTATACTCACATTTTGATCCTTGAGTTGTGATTTATGAGAGTCAATTTTGTTGGATTTGGACTGTACTTTTTGTCAGGTTTGAACAGGCCGATGAACTAAGTGCTTTGACTGATTATATTCATCTTATTTTCTGTTATTATTTGTTTTCTTTTTGTTTTTGTTTCTCATCATTTCTAGTAGGCGCAAGCATGGATCTCAAGTTTGATATTGAATCATTGATAATAAAAAGAAAAGAGGGGAGGGGGTCTCACAACTAGCTTCTTCTTTTCTTAAAAAGTTTGAAGAATTAAACATTTACCTAAGTAGCTACCTTTCTTAAGAATTTTGAAGCATTAAACATTTACCTTTCCCATCAATACTTTCCCAGAACTTGACAAGAGGGTTTTTGAAAAGTCTAAGTAGACATAGAATTGGGACTTGGTAGGGACACGGTTATATGTTTGACATATTCGCTGGGAAAATTGAAAATCTATCGATGGAAAATTAAGAAGGATTGTTGACCAATGGTATGGAAATCTTATTTTTATATGACTTTAATGGATATGCTTAACCAATATGTTTGTGAATTTTTCATGGCTAGAACTGCCTCAATGTGGTTTTTCCCTGTATGGCCTTGCTGTTTCTCTCATGAAACTAGATTTGAAGCCTCTGTAAGGGACTACCTAATAGTCTGGTTTTGTTCTTATTTTTGCTTACAAAATTGAAATTTGGATAATGCTAGGCACCCTTACGGTAGCTTGCACACATTAACATTCTCAAAATTTACGTGACTATTGTCTGGGTTCACGTATAGCATCTTGCAGACTATTAGTTTCTCAGCTATGCTTCATTTTGAATTTGAGTTATCTTATTCAGTGTAGGATATTGAGGTGTAGAGTTCTTATTGAAAAGGTTTTAGCTAGACTTACTCTGATAGTCTGATATAGTGGACTCTAATTTTTTGGTTGGGGTAAAGGTTTTAGAAGGACATGTTTTTCCTATTCATTATGCAGGCTCATAGATTGAAGTTGATTATATCAAATAGATTTCAGTAGTATTGCAGAAGAAAGTAATACGCCTTGGAGAGCCAGTACTTATACTGTTGGAACCAAAGTCGTTTTTTGTCATCTGATGTATAAACTAATGGAGCACGGATAGAGTTTTTACTTTCTCTAGAGCACTCATCAAGGTGAATAGTTCATGGATAAATTGTATAACTGTGAATGTATGCCATCTTTAGCGCTTTATCCCTCTTCGTTTCCAGCTGGACGTCTTCCAAAAAATTAGTGACTAAGGTAATATAGGGTTTTATTTATCGTTCAAGAATTATCAGCCAAAGTAAATAGTGGATTTGCAAGAAAGTTGGACTTGAGACTTGATTAATACAAAACTGACTATGGAAGCTTAAAGGATTTACTGGGTGACTGACTGGATATACTGATTATCTAATGTAGTTGACCTACATTGGGTATTGCAATAAGTTCATAGTTGGCCAGATAGTTTTCTTTCTTTTTTGTTTTGTTTTTTTATTTATGTTTTGGTTTAGGAAAACAATTGGATGGAATAGTTGAATTTTAGCCTCAATTGGTGATGCTTATATTGCCAAACTCCAGCTTCAAGCTGAAAAAATTATGCACCCATAACGAGATATATCGTTCACCTCTCTCTCTCTCTCTCTCTCTCTAATTCAAAGGAAATAGAGGAGGAAAGTGAAAGATGAACCGAGTCTTTCCATTTTGGTAGTTCTTCGGTTCTATTGTGCTCACAGGGGGCCTTCTGTAAAGGGGATAACTAATTGGGACTCTGATAGGTTCCGGAACAGCACAGCTTTACAATCTCTGATGGTTTGTCATTGGATCTCTTTAATCATGTTAGGACCACTTAATGTTCATAAGCTAGGTACATTTTATACTTTGGTTCTTGAGAATTATGGTATGTTTTGTGGCAGATTGTGCTCCCTAGTCTATATGTCTTTCTTTAATTAGCATTATTATATAATCTTACTTGCATGAATTTATTATTGACTGTAGATAGGTTTTGTATTTGTTTTGCAAGGATATTGAAGCTTATGGAACGTATGAAAAAAAAAAGAAGGGGGGGGGGGGGGGGGGGGGGGGGGGGGAGGGATATGAACTCTGCTGACCTACTGCTTTGATTCTATCATTTATTTTATTTATGAAGTGCATCAAAATTTAGATTTTGAATGTATCCTCGAATTGTTGGCTATCTTTAGTTTTACTCCAATGTTGGTTTCTTATCTGCAATTATGATTAATCTTGACTATGTTTTCATTTCCAGGGGTCGTCTAAAATCACCATGGTCTCGTAGGAAAAGAAAACACGCCCTCTCACCTCAACAATGGAGAAGTTTGTTTGGACCAGATGGAAAGCTCCGTGATGGTGGAGTCAAATTTTTAAAAAAAGTTCGCAGTGGAGTGAGTTATCATTTCATGTAGTTTATATTTGCTCACCATAAAGTTTCAAATTTGTACTTTTACTTGTTTCAATGTTTAATATTTTACTTATTATGGTTATATTTGTCATAATTATTACAATTTCTGTGTTCTGTAGGGTGTTGATCCGAGTATTAGAACAGAGGTTTGGCCATTCCTCCTGGGAGTGTAAGCACGTTCCTTATCACATGTTTGATTACTTTCTTCTGTTTATGAGATATACCGTGTGATCTGAATTTTTCTAGATTCACAGATTTTTATTTATTATAAACTTAATTATGGTGTTTTTGCTCAAGAGAGCTAGAATTGATTCCTTCTGCAAGCCCAAATACTTGCATTCAACCATTAACTTTAGTTTCAAATTCCATGTTTTATGATTTCCTGCTTGTGACAGTAGAATCCATAAGCTAGCCTATAATATAATTATGCGCAACAACTTTCACATTAGTTTTCTTTACAAAAGTTATTTCTTCTTCTTAAGGTGCAATTGCTTGTTGCAATGATTAAATGTCAAGTTGACAAGCATAAGGACACTTGTCCAAGTATTAATAATCACTTTCTGCAACATATTTTTAGTAAAAGGTAAGGTTAGGTACCACCAAGGGCTGTAGCCTAGTGGTATCTCCTCTATCTCCCAAAGTGAAATGTGAGGGTTCAAATCCCCATTGGGGCAAATGGGTGTTTCTTCTTCTTCTTCTTCTTCTTATGATATATTTTTTTGATGAGGCATTTGCTTGTAAGTAACCACTTTGCGCTTCTTCTTCTTCTTCTCCTCCTGCTTCTATATTTTTTTGATGAGGCATTTGCTTGTAAGTAACCTAAGAAGCACGGACACGGATACGGGACACAGATACGACACGACACGGACACGGCGACACGGCAAATCCAAAAAAATTAGGACACGGACACGGCGAATAGTACATATATATATATATATATATATATATATCAGCATTAATAATTTTTTTAAAAAAACACTGATATGTTTAGGTTGGAATATATATATATATATATATATATATATATATATATATATCACTGATATGCTAGTATATATATATATCAGCATCTTTAGGACACGGACACGGCGAATTGTGGCATCTTTAGGTTAGTATATATATATATCAGCATCTTTAGGATAGTACAAAACAAAAAATAGAACATATCAGCATTAAAAAATTTTTAAAAAAAAAAAAAATTAACATATCAGCATTAAAAATTAAAAAAAAAAAAAAAAAAATTCCAGAAAAGTGTGTCCGAGCTGTCTGAGCCGTGTCCGAGCTGTTTGAGCCGTGTCCGTGTCGTGTCCGAAAATTAAAAAAAATAAAAAAATTCCAGACACGTTTTTTGGCGTGTCCGACACGTGTCTGGGCGTGTCCAACGCGTGTCCGTGTCCGACACGTGTCGGACACGGATTCTTCGCCCATTTTGGAGTGTCCGTGCTTCCTAGTAAGTAACCACTTTGCGCAACAAATTGTTAAAGTTAGATTAGGTCGATCCTCTAGTCTTCCTCTCCTAACATCCTGTGTAGGCAGGACCAACAATGGCCTCTGAAATACTCTTTGACATAAAATGTTGATATGGCAGGGTTTTTACATAGAAACTTTAGACTATCTATCTCGTGTAGTTGTCTTGTAGCTTGAGAATCTCTTGAAATGGACAAGTACAAAAATATATATAGTGCTCCATTAATGAAAAAAAGAAAAAAGAAAAAAGTTCAGTGTTTGGAAATGAATCAGAACTGGGAAAACTATCAGCATTTTTTTCCACTCCACTATCAGTATTTCACACAAGATTTTTTTCTTAATCATGCAGACGCTTGGAATTAATATATTGATAGAAATTTTATGACTGTCGTACCTCCTGAAAATGTGTCATATGTGGCCAATGTCACATCATAGCCAACACTAACACATTTTGAACCATTTATCAAAGAGTTGGCTAGTGCAAAGATGTTAATCTCTAGTGGTTGAAGAACAGTTTTAAACTGTTTTTTGTCCATTCCAGGTTTATGATTGAGTAGAACAACCCTCTCCAAAAGTTTAAACCATGTTTTATATGAAGATATTTATGACAAGGGAGCACAATGGCCCATTCACCCCCGGGTACACTTGCTGGATTCAACAATGTATTTTACTGAATCATAGATAAACTCTCACTTATAAAAGAAAAACAAGAATTTTCAGCTTGTTATCAGCGTTGAGCGGTCAGTAAGTTCTACTATTTTATATTCTCCTATTTAATGGTCCATAGCTTTGTGCATTTGTAAAAACTTGGCTTGTCAAGCTTAGTGTGAAAATGTGGTTCGAGTCTGATGGCAATTACTTCGTGCAAGTAAGGCCAAAGCTTAGTTTTGTACCTAATCTATCCCTCCAAACATCCTTGATTAATATGGACCGCATTGTGTAATGATTGTTTTTTTTTTTATATTTTTTATGGGTTTGCTTTCTACTCTATGTAAAATTGTTTTCATGAAGATAACAGGTAGTCAGCTACTTTTGCAATTAAGAGTCGAGCTTATAAATTGAATGATAGACTTGCACAGTTCTTGTATAAAAATAAATCGACCGCAAATCTGAAGTTCATTTAATCGGTCTGTTGATGGTATTGCACAAATTGTCATGGACTTTTTATCGCCATTCAAATTTTCTCTAAATTTCTACCTCCCCCCTCCTTTTTCTACTTTTGACAAGTAATCACATGCCCTAATGTATCAACCCAAACTTGGAACCTAGACTCCCGCTTTGAGAATTGCCTTTACCTTGTGACATCTGCTTAAAGTTTCAATTCAAGCCATTTTTAGTTAGGTTGTGTATATTTGAAAATTTTCAAGTGCTCTTAATTTATTTCTTTTCAATTCTCGCAATTATCAGTCACAGGAAAACCATATTGCTTTTGTTTTTGTTGGTTAGCAAAGAGGCGTAAATTATGTTCATGCTCAGTGAAGACTTAAATGCTGGTTCACACCTTTCACACCATATCACTTTACTTTGTGGTAGCTTAGATAGAAGGGATCTGTAATCCAAAAATTGTGGGGAAAATTTTAATTGCTGTGGGTATTTTCCCTACTGATATGATATAAAATTATAAATCCTTTACTCTTTTTTTTTTTTTCCTAAAATTTTGTGTGTTATACCCTGGAAGGAATTAAGCTGTAAAACATTAGCCTTGAAGTCATTGTCGTTTCTATCGTGAGTTGTGCATTTTCGGAAGGGTTCAGCTAAAGATCGAAATAATTTGATCTGGGGATTTTTGTCACTGGAAGGAATTAAGCTGTAAAACATAAGCCTTAATGCCCTTTTCATTGCTGTCATGAGTTATGCAAATAGTGCAGCAAGAGTTCAAGCCTCATAAATCTGGTGTCTCATATATGTGCAAATCACTCTAGAGCCCTACTTATTAAACGCTCTCTCTTTGATGTGAATTGGTGTGCAAAACAAGTAAATGAAAAAGTTACTGTTCTCTTTCCTTCTTCTAGTTTGATTTCCTCTTGTGTGCGATTAGAGATGCTATGCCACCCCATTGTATATTAGTGTTGCCTAAAGGGCTCGAAATGGAATGGATTCACGTGAATACAAAACCGGATGCATATTTTATTTTCAGGATCCACATCTGAATTGGATCCTATGGACATGATCCCTACCCACCGATATATTTTAAACGTTGATCAAATAGAGTAAAATATACTTGATCTGGGTCAAATCTTGGGTCCCTATCCTTGTAAGGATCACTCAGGTCCATATTCGGCCCTAATCCAAGACAAATCTTTCAATGAAGATTCATATATGCCGGTTTTGTAGTTCGAATTGAAAATTAAAATTCAAACTTGTTAAAATGGATTTTGGATTGAATTAGAGCTTGGGTCAAATGGTTCCATTTGAAGCCCTAATTGCCTCTTTTGAAATTAGGGTGGGTGCAATAAACACCTCTACGATGGCTGAATTGTTTTTCTTTCCCTTTTGTTTCTCTCTGCAGCTATGACTTGAACAGTTCCAAAGAAGAAAGAGAGAGTTTGAGAACTCAGAAGAGGTAAGCTTGCCAAGTTTATATAACATTCTCTGTGTCTGTTATTTATTAACTTTGTACAAGTAACAAGATTGATAGTTGATTGTGAGCTTCACCCCCAATGAAATCCATTGTTTTTTATCATAATGTTTCTTTACTTCACTCTCTCTTTGTGAATCTATGGATGTAGGAAGGAATATGAGAAACTTCGGAGACAGTGCCGGCGCCTTCTAAAACGCAGCAGCGAAAGCTTTAAGTTAAATGAATCTGGTGTAACCAGCAGCAATGGGGATAGTGGGAATTTCAGTCAAGACATGGATTCTCCCGACTCTGAAGATGTGGTCAGTGCCAGAGAATCCCTTTCTAGTGAGGAAAGGAACTTATATGTTGATTGCACTAACCACCCGACCAGTGCATTGTTGGAAGGGGATGCTGGATCAAAACGAGTTATGGATCCAAGGGCATCTTCCCTCTACACTGAGTCATCAGATTCAGATTCTTCTGAAGACCCTGAAATGAGTGAAACATTCCCCTCCACGGAATGCAGGGAGGATAATGATCCTTACATGCCTACCAGGGAGGATTCTCCCTCCTCCAAGACAGAAGTCCAGTCAAATCTCCACAGCACTGAAGATTTTGCCACATGGCAGCGGATCATCCGCCTTGATGCAGTTCGTGCCAATGAAGAATGGATAGCATACTCCCCAACTCAGGCTGCAGTATCGGATAGCAGGGCTCGCCGTTCTGCTGAGGCTGTTGGGTTAAAGGATTATGATCACCTAGAACCCTGCAGGATCTTCCATGCTGCCCGACTAGTTGCTATTCTTGAAGCCTATGCACTTTATGACCCCGAAATTGGTTACTGCCAGGGAATGAGTGATTTACTTTCTCCAATAATTACGGTTATGACAGAGGACCATGAAGCTTTCTGGTGCTTTGTTGGCTTCATGAGGAAGGCTCGCCATAATTTCAGGCTCGATGAGGTGGGAATCAGGAGGCAGCTGAATATTGTTTCTAAAATAATAAAATGCAAGGATTCTTATCTATATAGACACTTGGAGAAGCTCCAAGCAGAGGATTGCTTTTTCGTTTATAGGATGGTGGTGGTACTCTTCAGAAGAGAATTAACATTTGAGCAGACAATTTGTCTCTGGGAGGTAATGTGGGCAGATCAGGCAGCAATTAGGGCTGGGATCGGAAAGTCTGCATGGAGCAGGATAAGGCAGCGAGCCCCACCAACAGATGATCTATTACTTTATGCCATTGCAGCATTAGTATTGCAAAAAAGGAAACAAATCATAGAGAAGTATTGTAGCATGGATGAGATAATAAGGGAGTGCAACAGCACGGCTGGAAATCTTGATGTGTGGAAGCTTCTTGATGATGCACATAATTTGGTGGTCACCCTACACGAGAAGATATAGAGACACCCTTCTGATGGCTACCATTGGAAAATTTATTTCACTTATTTATGCTAATTGGTCCGTTCTTCAACCTGATTTATGACATCCCGGCAATGCTCAGGGAAATGCATCATAGGAACCATTCCCGTGGCGTTGATGTTAATGTTGCTGCTTCTGACTTTGAAGGCTCGATTGAAATGGCAGCGTTAATGCTCAAAAGACAAGTTATTTTGAGTCATTCGCTCTTTTCTGTGTATTGAGATGTTCTCCTCTAAAAAAAATGGCAAACGATGGGACTTTGTTCTCACATTTGATCCCCAAACAAAAAAAAAAAAAAAATGGTTACGCAGCTTGGTGATTGATTCCCAAATCTAACTTTATTGTACGTACCTATTGATTTGGAGTAGTTACATCCTCAAGGTGGGGCACACGCACACATACACAACCCAAGCAGATTTAATGCAAGCATCAGCATAAAATCACTACCAACAGTTCTAGGACAGTCAGTAGCAAGGAAGCATCAAAGCAACAAACAAGAGACAAAAAATTGGATTTGAGAGGCGTTAGGCCAGTGTCTCTGTAGGAATGTGCTATTGAAGTGCCGTGAACTGATTCCTCAGTATAAACCTTTATGCCGCAAGCTATTGACTTGAATATAAAACTTAGTTCCGGTGTTTCAAATTCACTGTGTTCAATCTGATCTGATCTTAAATTTAACAACTGCATTATGAGGCAATTCACTGTAAGATCATCATAGTCAACTTTGCATTGCTAAAAAACTTAAAAAGTTTTCAGTGCCAAAACACATCAGGTCACCTTAATTGTCACGGTGTTGATGCCTGCACAGACGTGCCCGTGCACTCACGTGCGCACAGAGAGGTATCAATCAAAAAGTGAACTGCTAAAGAGCCAATAAACACAAAAAGGAAACAAAATTGGGAAGTAACAATACTCTAATTATTATTCAACAAAATAAAACAGTCCAGTAACTGGCGAAAGAAACACTCAAGAACTTCGATCGACTCTTAACTGATGTTCAATTTTGCACACCCAAACACCATAAACTAAAACATGGGGAAGAATTGTTCTTCCAACGACTCAACCAAGTAACAAAGACAACTATCTGACCCTGCAAGAGGGTGGTGGCAAGGTAGAATTTAGCTGACTACTTCTCTTTGGTATAGTGTCGCACGGCAAAGGCCAACCCCAAGATCAAGAGAGGTACGAGGAACTGTAAAATCTTGATCACAAAGTCGGAGGTTTTGTCAGGGTTGTAAGGGGCTTGCTGGGGTGGAATGTAGGTGCGTTTCAGGGGAACCGTCGAAGTGTCTATCTCACCAATGTAATACTTTTCCATCATATCTCTAGCAGAATCGCTGTGGCCAACATCTTCAAAATCATTTGTTGCATCTTTCCCTGCATAATTTTGGACAATTTACAAGGTCATCCAACCATAAAATTATAATCCATGCACTTTAATCTGAAAAATACAAGTCAGATAGAGAAAAAAAAAAAAATCAGGACATACCAGTTGCTGACAGCAGAACTTCATCACCTCCAGGATGATCGTCCATGAATGGGGTTACATCATACACCTGATGCAATAATTTGACTTACGCTTAGCAGAGAAGAAGAAGAAGAAGAGGAAGCTAAGAGTTACCATAACTGGGTAAAAAAATAGAGACCCACTTTATTATGTAAGTGACTTCACTAGTATTTGGAGTTCCAACTCAGCGCTACACAAAATATGGCAACTTTTTCCATCCCAAATATATGAGCTTTTTAAGTTGTGATTAGCAGTATCAAAAATTTCTACTTTGAAGAGGTAAAACTACTAGAAATGGGATTCCCTCAATCTTTTCACAGGTAAGACTGCCCATAGTTTGAAAAAAGAGAGAGCTTTAGCTGAGAAAGTTTTCAAGAGAATTTACAACCCTCATCAAAAGGAATTGACTGATGCAACTAATATAAGCAATTGGAATCTGTTCTTAGCTTAAATCCAAATGCAATGCCACAAATATTTATTCAAATATCATTCTCCATCACCAGTTAGCACGATCAAACTTAGGATATAGTCTCCTTGACAAATTAGTAAGTGGGTTATGTTTTATATCTACCCATTGATTTCTTATGAGAAATTGATATATTGTAGTAGAAAATTTTGACTTGTGAGTTCTCAATGGGGAAAAAAACGAAAAAGGAAAAAAAGAAAGAAAAAAAAAACCCAACGGCCCAATGGCCTAACGGTATCACCCTCTTACTTCCCAAAGGGAGGTCAGGGATTCAAGTTTCAAAAGAGACGTGTGTGTGAGTACCAACTAGAGAAAAAAAAAAAATTACAGAAATGGATTTATTGGATAAAGAAATGCCTTCTCCACAGTAAATTAAAGAGAAATTAGATTTCACAATAGCTTCTTTTCTGCTGAAACCAAGTTAGATTGTTTAAAGAGCCTATGCAATTTAAGATTAAATAAATCGTCATCCTCCCATCCAAGTAGCACCGAACAGCCAAATCAGTCTGTTCATTCATACACACTAGTAGCGTTCTCCACAAAGCACATCTGAGCTATTTATATTCAAACAAAGCCATGGCAAAGTATGGACCTATCCAGCTCAGATGAATTACAGTGAATGGATCATGGAAGCCAATCGTGAACTTATTACAATTGATCATACCTTATTCTCATAAAATGGACTAACCAAATTGGGCATTTTATAGAGTCATCAGATTTTTTTTAAATTATTTTTTATTCTATGCACATATTGTATCCATCCTCTTCTCTTCTCTTCTTCTTCTTCTTCTTTCTTTCTTTGTTTTTTTTTTTTTTTTTTTTTCCTTTTTTTTTCACAAAAATAAGAAATAAATACCTATTCTTTCACTACTACTAGAATGTTGGTGAGGTATTATTGGCTTGGATGTTTCGGAACTTGAAATAGATCACAAAGCATCTAGTCAAAGTAAAAAATGAACAATCATCAACAGCCCAAAGTCAAAATTGGATCATGCAACAAAAATCAAACATCAAATTAATCAAACCCGGTACAGATTAACAAATCGAGCAATAGCAAAAGAAGATAATCTAATGAAGAAAGATCTGACCTTTCCAGATATAATAAGCCAGCAATCCTTGGTTTTGTTGTGCTTAGCAACTTCCTCGAATAAGTGAACTTTCGGATCGGAACCCATTATTTGCTGTGACTACAACAAAAAGCACCAACAAAAAAATAAAAATCCCTAAAAACGTATACACAATAACATCATATATATACATATATATATATAAGGATCGATACTTACAAAGATTGTTGACGAATATGAAACAAACGGTCGAATCCAAATCACTTACTAGAGATGAATCTGTAAGAGACGGATCTCTCTCTCTCTCTTCGATTCTTACAAAACCACTGCGAGACGATTGCAGATACAGCAACAAATTTGGGTTTTTATATTATGTCAAGATGTTGGTGCCGAGTAACTTTGTTGACCCTCGCGTTTTCTGAAATTACTGAACTGTCCTGGAGGAGAACACCCTAGTGTCCAAACAAACAAAAATGATGGTCCTAGAAGACTGAAAATGATTGACTGAAAATGTGTTCAACAGAGTAGTTGTGGAATTCTTGTAGTACAGTTGAATTGGAGGGGTTTTTGTGGTTGATAATTCGTATTCCAATTTTATTTTACCTTTTTTTTTATAGAAAAAAGTGAATTAATATAACCGCTTTTAGAAAATATATTCATACTTGCAAAGGCTACACCTACTTTCAACTTTTGGGGGCTAATTTTAATATTTTATTTATTAAAAATTTCAAGTGAAGTGTGAAGTTCTTCTCTTTGAAGTGAAGGAGAAAAAAAAAAAAACAAAAGAAAGGGAAATTCCTCTCCTTTTGTTGTTTAATTTGACTCGTTGGAAAAACAAATAAATGTAGGAAATGAAAGTGTTTTTATTTACTTATTTTTTTTTTCAAGAAACAAAAAGTCAAAGTAGCACAGATAACTCATGGCCTAAGTCACGTAATTCTTTTCAACCGGTATAATTCTTGCATTCTACGCGCGCTTTGACTCAAATTCTCACTGTTTATTACTTAATTATGTCGCCGCTCTCGAATTCGCTCTCGCTTTTGCTCCCACTTAACTCATGTCAATAATATAATTAGTGAGACTTAAACTCTCATTCTCCCTTAAAATTATAATAAGTATTTTGAATTTAGACTTCCACGTAAGAGACCATTTTAAAGGTTAAATTTGGACGATAAATCATGAAAGTAATATAAAATTCTAAAGTCGAACACTTCTAACTATATTTATTTAGATAAAAAATTACGTCATCATATTTAATAACGTTATAATGACAGCATTTCCACCTAAATAAATAAATAAATAAAGTTAAATGTGTCTTATGCTCTTATAAGTAATCTTTTGAACTATTTATCATTTTTTTAAATCATTATGCACCTCTTTTTTGAGATGATCGGAGGTTTGGTGGCCAATATATATATTTTTTTGAAGGGATAGGAAAGTAAAAACAGAAAAGAAAAGACTGATCCTACAAATCTTTCCATTTATCATTTATCTTTTTCACCGAATAACAAAGATTTTGTGAATTGATTTCGCCATTTATGTGTCTTGTCCATACTACTATCAATTTAAAAGCTATCAATTAAAAGAGGTATTAAAAATTAGGCTAAAAGTGTTGAAAACACCTCCCTAATTTATTTTTAAATTTTTATTTTATTTTTCGAAACAAGAATGTTAATGTTATATTAGACGGTAGAAGTGTGAAAATTCAAAGTCGGCCTTAAATAAAGAATTTTAGACACATTAATCTCAGGCAAAAATTTAAATATCCATGACATTACAATATTTTAAAAAATACACAAATGATAAAATTAGATATTGTTTATCATTATCAATTAACAATAGTAGAAATATGTTATCTACATTTTACCCTAAATGAGAAAGAAGAAAATAAAGATACAATGGATCCAGTGTGTAAAAACAATAAATTGGACCGTTGCACTCTATAGTTTTAAGATTCTACTTCAAAAAAGAATCAAATAATTGGTATCAGTTCGATTTTGTTGATCAAATCAAAACGGAAACATTATATATGTGTGTTTTTTTTGTCCAACTAATAATTTGAATATTCTGAGATAGCTAGGGGCAGAAAAATAAATTAGTTTCATTATGTAGCCTTTCACTCTAGTGCTGTCAAAGCCTTTTCTTGACAAAAATGGTAGGACAAGTGCTGTCACAATGTCGTTCTCTAATCAATTTTACTTTTATAACCACAATGACATTAATATTCTTTTATGGCCTTCAAAGCGATAAATTATTTTATGTAATAAAAAAATTATTTTTATATTCAATTTGTCACATCAGCAAAATCTCTCTCCTCTTTCAGCCTTCCCAATCGGCTCCATCTATTATTCTCGTTCTCAACTCTGAACTTCCCCCCCCCCCCTCCCCCCCTCGCTCTGCGACTACAAACTACAAAAGCTACAAGAATCAGAAGTTCAAAACCCATATATTTCAGTTTATCTATCTGTCTGCAAGAATCAGAAGTTGAAAACCCATATCGGCATATCATTTCAGATTGTTCAAAAAATCAAAACCCATATCTTTCAGTTTCCATCGCCCGTTGTTCCAGATCTTGTTTGGAGCATACATAAGAATCAGTGGCCACAACCGGGGAATCAGACCCTTTTAACTCACCATCGTTTTAGAGAGAGAAAGAGGAGAGAGTCTATTGGGTTTTGAACTTCTGATTCTTGTAGATTTTGTAGTTTGTAGTTGCAGAGAGAAAGAGAGAGAGAGGGCAAGAAATGGAAACTGATTGGGAAGGAACAGCGGGCGATGAAAACTGAAAGAAATGGGGTTTTGATTTTTTGAACAATCTGAAATGATATGCCGATATGGGTTTTCAACTTCTGATTCTTGTAGACAGACAGACAGATAAACTGAAATATATGGGTTTTGAACTTCTGATTCTTGTCGCTTTTGTAGTTGCAGAGAGAGAGAGAGAGAGAGAGATAGAGAGGGCAAGTTCAGAGTTGAGAACGAGAATAATAGATGGAGTCGATTGGGAAGGCTGAAAGAGGAGAGAGATGTTGCAGAGGTGATGTGGTAAATTGAATATAAAAATAAATTTTTATTACATTACAATTAATAGTCCACCAACTCAGCCAAGTGAGGTGTGTGGACTTGGTCCATACAATAATTTTTCAAAGCTAGTAACAATGACTTGTTGAATTTGAAGATTTGGTATGTCAGTCTAGATCTTTGAGGGAAGGTGTTAAAATTTGGAAATCAAAATTTGGAAATCAATATTACAAAGGCATTTTTGGCATATTAAAAGGGCAATAATGGAATAATATTCAATTTTTGATCATACGCATTCCCAACTTATTTTAGAGAAAACTCTCGCCATTATAAAATTTTATCACATTGCCCCAATTCTACTACTGAATGCCATTAAAGGAGAGCGTGATGCTCATTTGCGCAGTCAAAATCTATTTAATGACTAAAGTACCCTTGATACAACTTGTGGCAACCATTTGCTGTTTGGTCAATTTTTTTATATTCCACAAGTATCCCTAACCATGTTAAATAAGCATCTGCGATCCCCTTCCATATTTCACGTTTCTCAGTTCATGGGTGTAAGGTTTTGAGGTCGTGTATTAGCGAACGATATATATATAAGGGTCCATGATGCATTGCCACTAGAAATCAAGATATTGGAATTGGACTTATCAATCAATTCATAACCTTTTGAGCAAGTAATTTGAAGCCGCCCATTCTCTCCTCCATTCAAAGAATCAATCGAAGTGATTTTGAAGCCCTAATTGAAGGTAATTCGTTGCCCTATTTGAAGGTAATTTTGTGTCCTAATTGAATTTAATTTGTTGCCTTAATTGAAATATCTTAACCAAATCCTAATTGGAAAGTCTTACCTAAGCCCTAATTGGAATTTCTTTGAGGGTTAAAAAAAATGGGTAATTACACTGATCTCCTCTGAAGTTTCGTCAAACTACACTAACATCCCTTTTGTTTGCCAAATAACAATAACCTCTCCTATCAGAACATTTGGATGGATGGCGTAAATTGTTATATTGGAATTACATTTCTATCTTTATTATATCTATACTGTATTTTATTACAAACTCAATGGAATTTGAAAAGACAAAAAGGCTCAAAACCTATCCTTCAGCCTCAACACAAGCCACTGCCTGTAACAAAAAACACAAGCAAACTCTATCGGAATCAATGGAGCTAACAGTTGGTTCGTCTTGCTTGGAGCTCGCCGATATGAACTTGAGGTTGTTCATAATACTCTAGAGGTCTATAGGCATGAGGTTGTGCATTAAAGAATGCGATTCTCTGCCCATTTACTCCCTACCGCCTATAATGGACTTTGAACAAACCTATTGATTTTACACCAACCCAGAAAATGTGAAGGCAGGAAGTGATTTCTGGTCTCTAGTACACCAAGCTATAGATTTTACCAGCAGATCAGAGGGCACATTTAATATCCTATAATTAATTGATTGCATGTTCTTCCTGAAAGTATAATTATACGTTGAAGATAACAAGGGCAAACTAATAATTTGAATGTGATATTGAACACTACCATATTTCTAATTTTCATCAATAATCAGAAGTTCGACTAAAGTGGCGGTATTGCATTAAATCATTTCATCTATGAGACTATAGACCATATGGATTTCGCTGATATGAACTTGAGGCCGTTCACAATACTCTACTCTCTTTCCGATATGAACTTGAGAGAGAAAGAGATTGGAGAGAGAATTTTGAGGAGAGTGGAGAAATAATTATGAGGGTACTTTAGACATTATAGTTAATTTATTTACATATGTAGAATGGGAATTTGAAAATAAAAAATTGATGACATCATTATTTTTGGTTAGTAACCGTATTTTCTGTTAATGAAGGGGAGGTCTTTGTTATACGTATACAAACCTCGAAGAAGGTTATTATTATTTAGCAAATAAGAGGAGAGGTCAGTGTAGTTTGACAAAACCTCAAGGGAGGTCATTATAATTATCCCTAAAAAAAAATGTAATGGCTTAGAGATTTATAACATATTATGTGATTTTTTTCCCTAATCGTAAATACAATATCAACCTTAGTTTCCATCCATAACCACCATCGAATTATTATTATTATGAGTTGGTTTTTAATGTTTTTTATTGAAATTAAATGTTGTTTTGATTTGTAGATTTCAATCCAAGAATGCCTTCTTCAAGCAATCAATATGAGGGTCTTGATCCGAGGTATACCAATGCTAAATGTGATTGTGGAAAATCAGCTGTAATTCTGGTAACAAGGTCCGATGTAAACGCAGTCGTTTAACCAACATATTTGCACATCAAAATGCCGTTGTTTTGTATATGATTGCTTAAATGTCACCAAGGTTATTTCTATAATTTGTAAAAGTATCGATTTTTGCTTTTAAAAATAAATGAGTATATCAGAAGGTTAATTTCGTCATTTAATCATAACTTAATGGTTAAGTAACAGAATTGGGGCAATGGGATCAAATTTTATACTGTTGGGGGTTTTCTAAAATAGGTTGGGGTATATGATCAAAAACTAAAAATAGTGGGGGTTTTGTGAAACTAGCCCTTTTTTTTCTTTTTCTTTTTTAAGAAAGTAGGCACAAATTAAAACGCAAGGAGTCATCGCGCACAAAACATATATTGTTAGAGTATTTTGTGTACTTAATCTAAAAGAAGTTAAGAGATACGAATTAAGTCACATAAAGCAAGAGTGGAATTGAGAGAAAATTCGAGAGCACGAGCGCGAAAACAAAAAAATTAAGTCACAAATAGAGAGAATAAGAGTAAGAGTGAAAGCGCGCTCAGAGCGTGAAAGTGACAGCTCTTAAAAAAAATTATGTGACTTAGGATACAAAATGAAGTTGGACAAATATCAAAGGCATTTCTCCAATTATGAATGTTCAAAAGAACTGATATAATATAAGGATTCAAAAATTAAGGGGATACTTATGTATACTTGCACTTTAGCCGGTTGTTTAAACAAGGAAAATACTTTAGGCCTAAAAATGAAGTTCAAGAGAAATGCTTGACATAATTTTGAAGGGTTGAATAAAAGACAATTGTGTCAATTAATTTTTGTTTAAAAAATCAGGTGGAGTAGTACAAGTGATTAAAAGTGGAGGGCAAGTATCATTTTTCAAAATTCAAATATATTTTGATAACTTCTAGCTCAATTCTGATTTAATTAAGATTCAAAAACTTATATTATATGTCACTACTTAGTGAGTTCACGATTTCATTCTATCGAAGAAATTTACAATAATACGATTCATTTGAATTCACCTAAATGCATCTATGGAAAAGTCTTGTTCGACAAGCAAGAGGTGGAATACCACAAAGAGAAAGTGCACCTAATAAAAAAGAAATTTTTGTGATTGGTACATGTTTTGTTAAACCCCCCATAAGAATCATATTCTGACTTTTATTCAGAGAAAGTTCATGCAATGGTGCAGTACATTTACCTCATTATCTACCTTTTATTTTATTATTATTTGTTTGAGCTATGCATATTACAAATGGGTATAGCTGTTTGAGGAAAAGAGAAAAGTGACCAAAAAGCATATAGGGTTATCCAAATGTGGACAATACAATGGATTATCACTGATGGGACTTTGATACTCTACTTTTCATCCATACCATCCCCCTTTCTTTACTTTATGAAAATGCACTCCACTTCCTTTCTCACCTGGATGTTCTATATATTTGATGCTCTAAGTGCCTTAATATATCGGACTACAAGAGAGTACTAAGGTCGACCATCCGTAAGAAATTTGGTCCTTTATCACTATGAATGGAGTGTGACTTGTAAGAAAGTTGGTCCATTGTCACTATGAATGGAGTTTGACCCGTAAGAAATTTGGTCCTTTGTCACTATGAATGGAGTTTGAACCTGAAAACTACTTCAATTCTGTGTTTTTTTTTTCAGAGGAAGGTAATATGATTTTAAATGGTAAATAGCCTCTATGGACTTCTTGTGTTTCTCATAGATGGATTTTTGTTGGATGTGAGAATTTTGAGGCCTATGAGCAGAAGACGAGAACAGATAATATTACAAGTTACTGATTTGCCTGTGAAAAGCATGTGACATTTCCATGAGATCTCCCAAGATTACTCCATTTATTTTTTCAAATTCTTTCATAAGAAAATGAGTGCAATAAATTTAGTAGCAGAACACACTGTTTGGTTCTCTTCCTCTCATTTGAGGAGAGATTTGGAGAGAGTTAAGAATAATAGTATAAGAACTTTACATATGTTAATACATTTTTATCTAATTTTTCCTCACTTTCTCTTCTTAAACTTCCATCAGGTACAAGCACTTGGTAGAAGGTATTACACTTGCATAAACTGCAAAATTGATTAAGCATGCATCTACTAGTTTCCTGCACCCATATACAATTCTTCATTTTTTTTTTCTTCCCATGATCTCTCTTCTATCCCCACCAAAAAAAAAACCCGTAATTTATTAGGCTTTCTTGCTAGGCAAGAAGTTCATGCAGATTGGAGGATTGATCTTGGCCAAGGCAAGGATTGATGAAGGGAGAATCCACAACCCATCTCCACAAATCAAACCTGATGCAACTGCAGGAACCATCAAACCAGCCTTCTTGCTATTGAGCTTGTGCCACACAAATACAATCAAACTCCCCACGCACATATCAATTGCAAAGTAAGCCCCAACTAGGAAAGGTACAGCCATAGCCATTGGAAGTGGAATCCATTTTCCAACCTTCTTTGGGGAAACGTCTCTCACCAAGTTGGCTGCTATAGCAAAAGCAAAAAACCCGTAACAGAGCTGCAAGCAATGCTCAGGCAGGGCAGAGAAACCTTCGACACCTAGAATTGCCATGTTTCTATATATGAGGGCGTAAGGAGCTTTGTATTCCCCATCTGGATTCCCAACATCAAAAGCCCGGTAGAATAGAAAGAATGTGAGAGGAGCTACCACGCAGCCTATGGCCGTCCCAATGGCCTGGCTAACAAGCATGGATCGAGGGGAAGTGAGAGTGAGATGGCCCGTTTTAAAATCGTGCATCAAGTCAGAGGATATGGAAACAATAGATTTAATCAAACCACATCCGACTAGTCCTGCAACTACACCAGAATCCTTCCCAGCCAATGCAGCAAGCACAAAGAGGGCCACTTTTCCATAGTTATAGGCCATATTCATGTCAGTTAGACCGGCACCATATGCATTACAGAAACTAAGAGAAGGTGCAAGAATGTAGGCAACGACAACATAATACCACTTCAGCTCGGGAAACATGAGGGGGATCACAATTACAGAAATAATGGAGAAGAACGTGTACCCTGTACACGCCACCCATAAAGGAATGCTCTCTCTTACAAACACTTCATTTCGTTTAAGATCATCAAGGGGCTGATTCTTGTCATCTGAAACTGCAGTAAGGAGAGAAACATGTTAGTAAAGTTTTAAATGTTGTGACCCTGAGAAACAGGTGTTGCCCCTCTCTAGTTTAGCGCTTCTGTAGTTGACCAAACACCACAAACATATTAACATCATGTCAAAATCATGGTATGATGAAGCAGGACCACCACTTCATTTAAAAAGAGGATTAAATGGTAAAGTGCTGACTCTTTTTCTTTTTCTTTTTCTTTATTGATGAGTTGACACCAGCACTTTCTGCACCATCAGAAAAGGAAAGATATGACTGGTGGGTGGTGATGCACTAACTGGAGAGGCGGCACACCAAGAAAACACAGTGCAGAGTTGGCAAATTTACTTGTTTTGGGGTTCTTCTTCAATCTAGTATACATGCTTCTGCCAGTGAAATAAAGTATTTTGAGAAAATTGTAGAGCCCATCTCCTAGGAGAAGAGCAATGGCAATAAAAACCTGCAGCAACACAAGTAAATGATAAGATTGTTTTCTCTGAGTGTGTTTGGATATATATACATGGGAAAAAAATAAAAAGGATAACATTAGTTCGGATAGAAAAGAATTCCTCATATTTAGATAACTAAAGAAGGAAAAGAAAAAAACCTTAACTGATAGCCAAACACTAGTCTAAAAGGTTAGCAAACCCCTGTTCTAATTTCTCTCCTATCCATTTCCTTTGTCTCCTTATTTTAAAACCAAATACGAAAATAAGTTGTCCCTCCTCCTCCTTGCCTTTTTTCTGTTTTCAACTCCTTCAATCCAAACATGCTTTAAATTTTAGACTCCAATTTGCGTACAAATGCTGATGGACAAGGAAGCACGGACACTTTTACAAAGGAGCCGTACCCGTGTCGGACACCGACACTCCTCGAATACGTGTTCTACACTTCATATACGTGTCCATAAATAAAACTTAATTTTATTATTTCGGACACTTCGCCGACACTTTCCGGACACTTTTCCGACACTTCTCGGACATTTCTAACACAAGTCTATCCAGTAATCTTGAAAATAATATGAATACCAGTATGACAAAGTAGTGAAATAATAGTATATATGATATAAAACTGATTACAATGACATAATTTCATTTTCTAATTCACTTTAGAGCAACTCTTAGTATAAAAATTATAAATGAATTAAAGTTTTATAATACTATTACTGAATAGACGTATAATAATAATAATTTATATTATGTAGCCGTGTCTACGTCGTACTCGTATCTTATTTTTTTTTAATTTCACGTGCCGACGTATCTGTGTCATATCGTGTTCGTGTCCCGTGTTCGTATCCGTGCTACTTAGCTGATGATTAAAGATAGTCTCTGACTTAAGGAAAAGAAAATTAGATGCCTTACCACCAAAGGTTGTATCCTAGTGGTATCATCTCCTCTAGCTTCCAAAGTGGAAGGTAAGTATTCGAGTCCTTGTAGGGACAAACGGGCATGAGTTTCTTGCCAATGAAAAAGTAGAAATAAATTTAAAAAAAAAAAAAAAAAATAGATGCCTTATTCCCAGACCTTGTAACCATTTAGACTCTTCATACTGCTTTCTGGTAAAGCTTTCGGGAACCAATCTCCTTTACGATCACCAATCAGCGGCCACATTATTCCCCAAGAGAGCACAGCGCCAAGAAGCAAAGACAAGTTCACAAGATGGGAACAGATCATCCCTGCTCCAATGTAAGTCATACTGAAATCAAAGTAAAATCTGCAAAATTCAATTACTTATATCAATTGTAGCATTGTAAGATTATAGGATCAATCACATGTAAAAAATAAATGCGCTAATAATAAACAAAGATTACACACGTTTGTGTCCATGCTTTCAGCCCAAATGTAGGAAATTGAGAGAATCCACATTTTTCTCCCCCAGAATAGAACCACTGAAAGAAACCCCACAGGAAACTAATCGAGAAGACTCTCAAGAACCCGTTAACCTGCTTCCTGTAAAAAGGATCATGACATGTTTGAGTTCCACACTCGATTATATTTTGTTTGAGTTTGAAAAGGAAAATTTTCATAAAAATAGATGCATACTTGGCCATATTGTCTCCTTTAGGTGTATGGAAACCATTAATGAGAACCGCGGTAGCAGTTCCACTAGGATAAGTTAATTTGTAGTCTATTATCATAATCTGCGGAAGAGCAACAAATGCATGAATGAACAAACAACTAAAGTTCCGTAAACAAAAGGCCCAACGAAATTCAAGATCATTGTAATATGCATATTTTTGCTCAAATGATCAATTATAGCTCGACCAATTCATGTATAATCTACCTCCAAGTCAATGAAACAAACCATTGATATTACATACTCGTGAAACTATTAAGAAGGAAAGGTACCTTTCTTAGAGGAACCAAGGCCAACAGTCCAACAAAGCTAACTACGAAAAGAAAACCAGTCATCCAACCAATCCCGGGTTCCTTGTAGGTCCCGGGTGAATTCCCCTGTGTATCAACCCCTGCCTGCTCATATGTCTTCTTATTCAATCCCAACAGATAAGAACCAAAACCACCTATAATACCATAATCAATTTAGATATAAATAAATGAACAAATTGAATTTAACAAAAAGAACTACAATTTACTGCAAAATTAACAAGATGAAGGTCTCTAACCTCCCACAGCAATGCTATAACATGCAACTGCACAAGTCTGGATTATCGTATTCTCTTGTCGTGTGAATGGAGCGCAGGCAATCCCAGCCTTCTTTAGCAGCTTCGTCCATGACCGGAGGAGCACGAAGGCCAGAAGAGCAGCTGAGACATTGAGATTAGGGACGAGACCGGTTGTGAGATTGAGCTTCATCACTATCACACTGTAAATGACTCCAATCACTAAACTGGCTACAATTCCACGAAACGTAATCTGTTTTGTCCATGGAGTAATTCTCTTTATGTCCTCCTGCTCCTGTTGTACCTCCTCCATGTCCTCTCTCTCAATTTCATTCGATTCTTCCATGTTCATGTTCCCCATTTCAATGATCCAAGTGCTCACCCTCGTCTAATTCAATCATCAAATAACATTTTAAGACACCCAATAAGTAAAAGTTTATTTATATATAGAGAGACAGAGACGGAGACAGAGACAGGGACAGAGACATATATATTCATGTTTATGCAATGATTTTAAATAAACAAACTAGTAAAAGTGACCTTACCTCAGCAGTATGCAATTTCTCTTTGGCAAAAGATGATCAGAAACCTGGAACAGCTTACAGTGCCTCAAAATTGACAATTTTTCAATAAAAAAGAAATGCCCAAATGGGTATTTGTCACCACCTTGAATTCATTCACCCGAAAATCTCCATAAATTGGCACGAAAAACCTTTATCAGCACCAAATCAGCAAATGGGTTATCTGCATTCACTCAACCCTCAATTGGGTCTCTGAATTAAATCACAAAAAATGGGTATGAGATACCACAGTGAAAAACTGAAAATCATATATATCTAACCACACAAAAGCAGTACACTGCCTAATTAAGCTGTAATAACCCAAATTTATAGGTAATGACCTATATGGAAGGTATTACTCCATCATGTACTACTGCCCAAGGCAGTACAAACAGAATTAAGCGTTGTAGTACACACTAATCAGTAATCATATCCCCAACTATTCCCACTAGAGATAGGAATGGATGGGAGGCTTGAAATGCATACGCACTTCTTGTTGACTCTCTCTCTCTACTCTCTCTCTCTCTAAAAAGTAAATATGATACCAAAATACAAAATGGGTTGTGATGTAATGGAATGGAAGGTTTATTTTGGTTGTACTAGTAGAGATTGATTGGGGGATTCCCAAATGAGTGTAGCGTTGAGGCGTGTGGTGTAAACATGGCGCATCAAAGAGGAATCTCATCCAAGTTAAGAGAGAGAGAGATTATGGTACAGCTGACAATAGGGGGCCTTAAAAGTTGACGAAAAAGTACCTTTAATCCAACGGCGCACAATGTGATGGCTGATTCTACGCGCTTTCTCTGCCTATATCTTTGATTTTTGTTAAGTGGGGTGTTAACATCAACCCACTATGATTGCTACGTGTAGTCAACGCTCTGCAACGGAGCTTTGGTTTTTGTGCTTTGAATTGTCTTTGTTTACATTTAACCGTTGTCTTGAAGTCATAGATGAAGATAAAATGATGTCATATATATAATTTTCTTTTTTATTTTATTTTATTTTATTTTTTGGGGTAAGATTTAGCAAAACTAAGGCATTAACGATGGAGAAATTAATATATGGTCTCCGACCATTGGTTACGTTATTTGAATATTTATTTAATTAAATATAATATATTATTTTGTTATCAATAATTTTATAAGTTGGTGGATTAATTTTTTTTGAAAAAATACTTTGTCATTTGGTAAGTATAATTTCGGGACAGAGCCAAAAATTAAATCTAGGAGGTGCAAAGGGAAAAATAAAATAAAATCAATAAACAGACAATAAATATAGATTGTTCAAATCAAGAGGAAAGAAGAAAAATTACTCAAAATAATATGTCAATCATTGAAAATAAATAATTAACAAAAATTTAAAAAAGAAAAAAAAAATGAGAAAACTTTAAAAGGGGAAAAATGTTGAACTTTGATTCAAATATGAAAATTTTCTTTTTTTTTAAGGAAATTAAACAAATTCAAAGAGTAATTAGAAAATAAAATTTTACGGGAGGCATTATATGAATTTTTTTATATATAAATATAAATATTAATAAATTTATTATATGTATTATAATAAACGGGCTAAGCCAGGGGCACGTCGTACATCGGCTCCACCCCTGTATAGGCTATAATGTGCAAGGCGCATCCAATGGCCTACTTTTTGACACTTAAACAAAAACAAAAAAATGACATATTTGTTTGCTTGTTAACTAATGAATCATCTAATAATTTCACGTGAAGATGAGAGAGAGAGAAGTAATTTGAGATGTTGATGGTCGGAGGATGATTTGAAATATTTGGGGTCCTCATTAATTTTACACATCGTACCATGCCTATTAGTGATGTAAATTGTCAAATGTAGTACAACAATAATGGATGTAAAGAATGTGAACGTAAGTATGACAATAATAGGTGTGAAATATGTGGACCGTCGAATGCATTCCAACACTTGTGTTGTACTGTATTGCACTTAATCCACATGATATATGCTATTTGAAATCAATATGAAAGAACTTCAACAACCATTCTAAACTTCTAATCTTCTAGATAGCCCTATGCACTAAGAATCCTCATACCTACGTACCTTCATATCTAATTCCCCCCCCCCCCCCCCCCCGGGCACTTGCCATTGTCGATTGCCCTTTTTTCATGGATTTTTTCAATAGTTATATAATTATATTTGAGGAAAAAGAATTAAAAAATAAAGAGAAATTCTATGATTCAACGGGGCGGGGCGCGTGTCCACAGAGTGAAAAAGTTAAACTGGGGCAGGGATGGATTGGGAAGGCACTACGTTTAGGTGGTTTTGGGCAAGGACTTTTAAACGTGGACAAGGAAGGTACACTTGCCCAAAAATGCCCTGTTGTCATCCTTATATATAAGACACTCAAAAGGAAAATAAAATGAAATTTTCAAAAATAAATTTTAAGACATACATGTAATAAATGTTCATCACCAAGAGTCTTGTGATCTAGTGGTATCTGATATACCTCTCAAAGTGAATGGTGAGGGCTGGAGTTTCCAAATGAGCAAAGTGAGTATGTGAGTGGTGTTTGAATATCTTGCCAATAACAAAAAAATAAGAAAAATAAAATAAAATTGCTTATCATAAAATTATTTCTTCATGTACAAATGGCTTAGTGGTAGACCAGACCACAAGTGCTTGGGGACTTCCCTCTTTTGTCTTTTTGTAGATGCAAAGAATGGACCCAAAATTTTGAACACCTTTATTTTATAAGACCCTAATATACTCAAAATTACAAATATTTAAAAAAAAAAAAAAACTATACTTGTCAAATAAATTTTTATTAGGACCCCTAAAATTTTGAAAAACTCTATAATAGGGCCATAAGAGTTAAAATTATAAATACTAAAAATATTTTTTTCCCTACTCCAAAAAATATTGGGGCACAGCCGCACGCCATTGTAATGTCTAAATAAATGAAAGAACAAAAATGTCTTTAAGCCATCCCTTTGCGACATAAATTGTGCGCTTGCATCTCTGATCTTTCTTCCCCTCCTACTCATACCTTCCATTGGTTTTCTTCTAGAGTATTTTTCTGTTTTCTCTTTTTTTGCTTGAAATAATTTGTGATTTATCGATAAGTAGAAAAAAAAAAAATAGAGATGACTAATGTCCTCATTTTCAACAAGATGTTTTGGATTATTTTTGGTTATTTCAATTAAAAATGGAGCTGCTTTAAGACTTTTTTTATAGAGCAAATAATCTCTCTCAAAAAAATTACTAGGTCTTCCCAGAATTTTGAAAAACATCCATTTAATAGAAATCTATGATTATTTGCATTAAAAATATTAAAAGATTTACTTATTAATAAATTAGGAAGACGCACTCTCCTTTTCTACAATTGTACTTCACTTTTTTTTTGTTAAATAAATGATTAGAAAGTCCCCAAACTAATTAATGTTTTATCCCATATTTTATAATACCATTATCTATGTTTTTCACTATTAATTTTAACTTTTATTACTTTATTTACTTCATGTTGATGAATAAATGACCCGATCCAATGTCGTTTCATGCAACAAAGAGAGATGGTGACCGTTGTCGACACTTGTATCAAGTCAGTAATGGAACCACCAAAATTTAAGTAGGAAATATATTATTTTATACTTGCGTATCTCTTTGGTTTGACAGAACTATACTCTTATAGCATGTAGACGTCATCTGTTAAGAGTTGTTAAGATCGAGGAGATTTTCTAGGAAGTTAATATATCCCTTTAAATTTGAACTTTGGTTATCACTGTTTAAACCTGATCAATATCCATCCCCCCCCCCCCCCCCCCCCCCCCCAAAATTCCCAAGCTTGCTCGTTAAGCGTTGGGAATGTCAGACACTGTTTTTTTTTTTTTTTTCTTTTTGTCAGGTCGAGTTATTTTTAATCAGAGCTAAGCACATATTATTGCTTCAATCTTGTTCCTTTATCAATGGAAGTTGTTGTACTCAGCTAATCCTCTAAAAGGAGTAGGTATTCTGAGTTTCACTTAGCTCGTTCAATTAATAAGATAAGTAAAATTTGTCGAACTTTACTCAGCTCACTTTTAAATAAGAGAAACATATTTTACAAGCTTCACTCAGCTCGCTTCACCTTTTAATAAGGGAAACATATTTTACAAGCTTCACTCAGTTCGCCTCGCCTTTTAATAAGGGAAGCATATTTTACGAGTTTCACTCAGCTCACCCTTTAATAAGGAAAATATTTTTTACGAGCTTCACTCAGCTCACCCTTTAATAAAAGAAGTATATTTTATGAGCTTCACTCAGCTCGTTCCTTAATAAGGGAGTAGACTTTTTCTAAGCTTCATAAACTCGCCCTTTAATAGGAAAGTAAACTTTTACTAAGCTTCATGAGTTTCTCTCTTTAATAGGGGAGGTTGATTTTATTAAGCTTCGTAAGTTTCTCCCTTTAATAAGGGATGTTGATTTTATTAATTAAACTTCGTAAGCTTCTCCCTTTATAAGGGAGGCTGATTTTATTAAGTTTCGTGAGCTTCTCCCTTTAATAAGGGATGTTAATTTTATTAATTAAGCTTTATGAGCTTCTCCCTTTATGTGACGGTCCCTCCAAGAAAGGATAACTGCAAAACTGGCCCAGAATGAAAATATAAAAACCCCTGAAGTAAATATCTTCAAAAGATATTTACGAAAAACTCCCCAAGAAATATCAATGTTTCTGAAGAATCCTTTCATCCACGCCCTATGGGAGAAAAAAACAACCAGCGAGCTACGCTTTTCGAAGAAATCAACTGGAATAAAAACTCGTGAAGTCAAAACTCAACTCCGAACATGAAAAACGAGGTTATGCCAACAAAGTGACAAACGGGGAAAATGACGAAAAGTGAATAGTGTCGAAAAATGAAAAATGTGAATATGACACGGTCTTTTAAAGAATTTGTCAATCCAAAGGAAAGAGTATCGAAAACCATTTCCGAGCACTCGAGACGACACTAAGCGACGAGAAACCAAACTCAGAAAAGAAAAGTCAACGGAAAAAATTTATCCATAAAAATCTGAGAAAAAGGAAAGGAAGGAAAATGACCGAATCATTACAATTTATCCTCCTTAAGAAAATTTCATTCCCGAAATTATGAACATCACCGGAAGAACCAAATAAGGATTGAACATAAGGTTACATCGAGGAAATGATCATAAAGTACTAAAGGACAACTCCAGAAGCCTCAAGATCTAACTGAAGGAACACGAAACCACGAACCGAAAGACAACACCTCACCAAACGAATTGACATACAACCCAACGTCAACCTCCCAAAGGAAACCAAGGCAACAACATGTGATACCCTCGGATTCTTGAATGCGGGTTGGCCAGGCCCACGCCCGAATACCCGAGGATATCAAAAACAAAATCGGCAATAAATGAACACAGAGTACAAAAGAATAAAGAAGAATAAATAAGATGCTGACAAGAAACTAAAATAATAATCTAATAATAAACCTCAGAATATATTTCCATTAATTAATAAACTCTTCTAATACAACTAATCCTCCAAAATACAACTCGGGAATCCATACTGTGTGGACCCCTAGAAAATCCAAACTAAATGAATGACAGCAATAACTGTCTAAATCAGGAAACTGAATCATAAAGGAACTCCAATGTAGCATCGGAAGAATGAAATAGACTGATCACCGCT